TATATTCACTGTAGAAATATTAAAGTATAAAGTCATAAACTGATATATAAACAAGAAAAACTTGCAATAATTAAAGGAAGAGATTATTGGACAAAACCTGTTGGCTTCTTATTTTTTACCAAAATGCTCAAAAGAAAATGGGTCAGAATTATTTTACACCGGTGTAAGAATAATAAATCTTACACCAAATCTGAGCCATTTATTTTTTGCATCTAACGGTTAAGATTTATTAGGTCTCACTTATTAATATATTTTTAATTCTCAATAAATCTCAACTGTTAGATGCACGAAAATTAATAGTTAAAATTTTATGTAAAATTTATTATTCTTTTTTTTTGTAGTCATAAAATTTATTATTCTTACACTATAAGTTGATGATATCCAAAAAAAAAAAAACATGAATACTGTATCAGTAAATTGATTCCGCTAAACTGATTACGAATGGCGAGGCACATTCATTTAAACTTTTTTTTTTTATCAACAATATGTACATTGGCAGAAATATTTTCGTGTTATTTGTATTATTAAAAAAAATTATACTTAAAATTTTTTTTCACTTACAATCTTTTACAATTCGATTTTATTTATTAATTTCTGTCAATCTAATGGTTATAATTTATTGGGTTATAATTATTAAATTCTAATAAATTATAATCATTAGATTGATAAAAATCAACTCTTAAGAATGAGTTGTAAGCAAAAAAAAATTGTAAATATAATTTACTCTAAAAAAATATATTTTAACATGTTTAAAGTAATAAAAACAATAAAAAAGTTAGTTTATTGTTAAACATAATGTTTTAAAACTCTTACCGGTCATCAACTCGGTTGAGGTATTGGGTCATTAATTCAACCGGGTTCAACCGAATTTATTGTTCACATATTAAAAAAATATAACATGTTACTTATATTAAAAAGCATAGTTATTAAAACCGGACCGACCCGGCCGAGTCGACTCGGGAATCGGTAAATCGATCATATAACCGGTCCGATTGAAGCAACGGACCGGTCATTCATCAGAACCGGTGCGACCCGGCTGATTTTCATAAAAACTGGTGACCCAATCGATTAACCGGTGACCTGGCCCAGTCCCAAAAAAACAAAAATTCCATTTTTTTTTCAAAAAAAAATCATAATTACCATATTTGAATATTTTTTTACTTATTGACTTACATAAGTTATGTACTTAAAACACTAGTATCATCTCAATTATGTACTATGCATAAAATTTTGAATTAATTAATAGTTAGAGATGTTGTTTTCTGAACTTAAAGCCCCGTATCACGATCATTATATTTTTGTTTGATTTTTATTTGATAATAATATGTGATTTATTATATGTTGTATTAAGATATTTGAAATTTTTATCATTTTTTTAGATATTTGAGTGTGCTTATAATTTTTTAATATAAATTATAAAATTCCATATAAATTACCAGGTCATGCGGTTGAACCAGTGACCCGGTACCTCGACCGGGTCAATGACCGGGCCGATTTTAATAACATTGTTAAAAAGTCACATAAGAAAACTACCAATGAGCTTCAAAAATTAAATTGGTTCTAAATGATAGAAAATATTATATACTTCTAGGCTTCTAGCTCTAGACAATATCCTAATATTGGATCAAAATTGTAATGTAAGCTAAATGCACCTTTTGTGCCTTGTCATAACACAAATAAACTAAATCATGATAACAAATAGTAGGCGTGAAATATACACTAAGGAGAAAGTTCCTACCGTTAAGATGAGACCATCAGTGTTTATCCCCACTTAACTTCTTTAGATCATTATAAAATGGCTTTAATGTTTCTACAGTGAATATAGATAAGTTATCTACATTCACTCCCAAAATGACGTCGTTTTGGTTTGAAAAATTTAAAAATTATAATGAAAAACACTATTATAACTATGAAATAAATTATAATTACCTAAATACCTTAATTTTTGCCTTAAAACAACGTAATTTTGGACTCAATGTACATAAATTATCTACATTGACTATAGAAAAAACAAACTTTTATAAAATGTAACTAAATTACATAAACGAACTGCACTAATCCAAAATACCTTTTTTATTTTGACCTTATTTTTTATCATATTTACCACAAAATGTGAACATGATTTAATTCAAGAATTCGTAGCAACCAAAAAAAAATATTTACAAAAAAAGAGAGAGGGTCAACCGGGTCTCGACCGGGTCATCCGGTCCAAACTGAGTTGACTGCAAAACCAGTCCAAAGGACCGCTCGGACCGAGAAACCCACCGGGTCACCGAGACCCGGGTCAACGCAGCCGATCCAAGCCGATTTTTTTTTTTTGGTACATAGAGGGCCAACGCCCAAACAAAGCAAAGCTTAACTAAAAGGGGAAAAAGTCTCAGGAATGCTGAGACTAGCATAAGGTGCTAATCCAGGGTCCCAGGTATCAGCTGCAACCAGAGAACACAGCTCCTGATTTGGAGAATGGAGAACATGAAGACCAAATTCCCTACTCAAACCATATTTTGCTAACCAGTCTGCACATTTATTGATGGATCTTGGAACATTCAAGCAGGAAACATTCCAAGCTTTATCCAAGCAAGCTCGAATCTTGGCAACCAAAGGAAGTCTTCGAGCATCATTACCATGAGAGGTAAAAAGGCTACCAGCTTAAAGAGAGTCACTTTCTAGAACAATGGTTCTATATCCCAGATTCCAAGCAAAATTTAATCCATGATATATAGCCCACAATTCTGCATGTAATGGGGAACAAGAACCTAAAAACATGGAGAAGCCATTGATCCAGGAACCAGAAGAGTCCCTAAGGATGCCACCACAAGCAACCTTATCCCTTGAGACAGCCCCATCAATGTTCAATTTTACAAAATTATGGTCTGGCTGAGTCTAGGAGGAAAATTAATTTTAAAACACTGGTTAAACAACAAAATCATGATTTTGATGGAAAATTAATTTTACCTTAAGGGGTTGTTTGGTAGGAGGCAAAAAAAAATTAGCCAGAAAAATAGGATAGAAAAATAAATAGGCAATGTTTGTTAGGAGGATGAGGAAAAAGGTGTATGGGAAAAGAAAGATTACCGTGTTTTCACTTTGTTCATGAATGATGCTGAAAATTTTGCAATCTCAAGGGTGGTTACCTTTATTTCCAATTAATAGACAAATTCTTGACACTTTGTTGTGACTAAAATGCCCTCCATCAAAGTATATTTATCAAACCTCATTTGGTGAGCTATTGTTTAGGTGTGGAAAAAGATAATTTCAGTAAATATTTCAATCTTTTTTTTACCATTAACCAAACATACCTTAGTAAAATTAATTCAAGTTTTCATACAAAATTTTGGGCTACCAAACACCTTTTCATTACTTATTCGACAACAAAATTTTTTCATCATATTCTCATGCAATTTTTCTTCCCGATCAATTTTTTTTTTCTTATATCAAATGCTCCCTAAATTGACATTTTAATTATGAATTATTAAGAGCGAATCTTTTAACATTCGTAGTCGTCGGCAACCCTACCCCTACACTGATCGTCGGATTCCATAGTTAGACACGAGGCACGAATGAAAAAAAATTAATATTTACAATTATTTTGTTCTTGTAATCTCTTATTATTATTTTTGTTTTTGTTAAATTTAAATTAAAGATATTTATTTAATATTGTTTTATAATTATTAATTTCATTTTAATTTAATAATAACAAAAATAATTAAAAGAGATTATAAGAAAAAAATATTATAAGGTATCCTAAAAATATCATTTACATAGAGTTATACGTACGAACTATGAAAATGGATCCTCTTATGTGTAATTTAACATGATCATGTCATGTGAGAGGATCTTAACCATTAATAATTAAATCAATGGCGGTGATGATTGTGTAACTTTCTATCCTTATATATTTTTTTCTTTCCTCCTTTATCACCATAAACTAACCCATGTATGATTATGATTACCCCACATGACATGATCATGTTAATTAGCACATGAGAGGATCCATTCCCATAGACTATAGAGCAATGTTATAAAATCCGGGTCGACCCGGAAACCATGAACCGGTCATGTAACCAGTCTGGATTTCATATTGGACCGGCCATGTTACAGAACCGGTGTGACCCGGCTGGTTTTTGTAAAAATCGGTGACCCGGTCGGTTCAACCGGTGAGCCAGTCCGGTCTATCCAAAAAAAAATTAATTAATTTTTATAAATTAATGTCTTTTTTTTTACTCTAAAACACAAATGATTTGTTTTCTTTTGAAATATTTGAGTATTTTGTAGCTTATTAACTTACATAGATTATATACATACAACACTAATATTATCTTGATTATGTAATATGTAGGGAATTTTGATTTGGTTTATAGTTAGAGATGTCGTAAAGTGAACCTGAAACACTAATATCACAAATATTATATGTTTGATTGATCTTTTGTTGGACAATGATGTGTAATTTATTATTTTTATATTAAAATATTTGAAATTGATATATTTTTTTTACAAGTATTTAAATATATTTATAATTTTTTGATATAAATTATAGATTTACATATACTTACTGAGTCATGCAGTTGAATTAGTAACCCATTGATTGAACCAGTAACCTAGTACCTCAACAAGATTAATAACCGGATCGAGTTTAATAAAATTGCTATAGAGTGATAGGCACATGGGAATAATAATATAAAGATGACAAAGAACGTTGCGGGTCGCAGAAGAAGCGTGTCAGGCATGAAGTAGGGTGGGTCCACTTAGAAAATGACAAAGCGAGGAAGGTGTTGGAAAAATGGCACCGCACTGTGTCTGTGTGTGCCACTGTCCAAATCTAAAATAAAAAGCCTCTTATCTTATTATTAATTTCTTTCTCCTTCCCCGTCAAGCCTTCCAATTCATCCCAACCTCTACATTTTGGCTAAGCCATAACCACGTGTCACTCTTCCATTCGTCATTCTCAGATATCCTTGGCCCCACCAGATAGACTTGCCCATAACCACGCTTCCTTCACCACACAACACAAAAACAAAAACAAAACAGTTTAGAGAGAGGAAGCCATAACCATAGCAATGGCCTCCAAGCTCTGCGATTCATGCAAATCCGCCACCGCCACACTCTATTGCCGCCCTGACTCCGCCTTCCTCTGCGGCGCCTGCGATTCGAAAGTGCACGCCGCTAACAAGCTCGCATCTCGTCACCCTCGCGTTTCACTCTGCGAAGTCTGCGAGCAAGCCCCTGCACATGTCACCTGCAAGGCAGACGCCGCCGCACTCTGCCTCGCCTGTGACCGCGACATCCACTCCGCTAACCCCCTCGCCAGCCGCCACGAACGCGTTCCCGTTACTCCTTTCTTCGAACCCTTACATTCTGTCAAATCCATTAACTTCCTCGACGATCACCGCTTCTTCTCCGACGCAAATGCCGACGTCAGCACCGAAGAGGCCGAGGCAGCTTCCTGGTTGCTCCCTACTCCTAAGCCAGATCAGTACCTATTCTCCGAAACGGAAACGGAACCCGTCCCGTACATAGATCTGGATTACGGACATGTGGATCCGAAAACGGAGCAGAAAAATTCCGTCACCGCCGACGGAATAGTTCCGGTACAGAGCAACTTTGAGACTTTCGCCTACGGTTACAAGTACAACACACAGTCACAGTCGCAGATGAGCCATAGTGTAAGAACGAACGATCTGAGACTTAGGTATTGATTTCCTTTCATTGAGACTTGTTTTGATGTGTTTTGTTGACTGTTCAGGTATCATCGTCGTCGATGGAGGTTGGTGTCGTGCCGGACGGGAACACTTCGTCGGAGATATCGAACTGCAGCTACGGCAAGGTTACGGCGCAGTTCTCGGCGGCGGATAGGGAGGCGAGAGTGTTGAGGTACAGGGAGAAGAGGAAGAACAGAAAGTTCGAGAAGACGATTCGTTATGCTTCGAGGAAAGCATATGCAGAAACCAGGCCCAGGATCAAAGGAAGGTTCGCCAAACGCTCTGTTGTCGATCCTCTTGCTGGATACGGCGTCGTTCCTACCTGTTGATCAGTTCGCAAAATGTTATGATATAAATATTGTATGTTGCTTTTATTGTATATATTTATTTATTTTGTTTTGTTTTGTTTTGTTTTGTTTGAATTATGCAATGCAAACTCTTTGCCGTCGATTTTGTAGTTTGTTTATCGTTTTTGGGTGAATGATGATGGCAATGGAACTTGCTTTTCGGCTATGGCTGCTGTGCAGATCAGCGTATCAAAATCTGGAATGTTATTGGTGCTGAACGTATGATAATATGGTTTTTTAATCACAGATCATGTTTATAAAAATTAGTTTTTAATTATTATTAGCCTCCCCTATTGCTTTCTGACTCATCCGGATCGGATCTCCTCTTGCTCGCAATGTATTTTGAGTCTCTCTCTCCTCATCAAGAACTGGGCGAGTCTATTTTTAGAAGCAAAAAAATTTGACTGCACATTCAATTTAATACTTGTTTTAATTTGTCTGGATGATTTGGATCGAGAATTTACTTAAAATTTCATGAATTATTAGTCTTATGATGGCTCTTTAATCAATTAGAAAGAACTACTAAATAAGGGTTTATTTGCCTAAACACGGGAAAGTTTGGGTTCATGAAAACGAGACTCTCTTTATTTAATTTCAAAAGGAAATTTTGGCTGCATCTTAATTTGATTTGTTTTTAAATATTTAGATGTTATGACCTTGGAAACAAAATCTTCTGTCGCTCCGTCGGAATTTTTATTATCAAAGGAATGTGAAGAATTACTTCAATTTAAAATCTTAAGGGATTAGGCGAACATGTTTTTAATGGATTGTATTATTCTCTAATATATTTCTTCGTACAAGAGTCTTTTGAACTTGAAATGTGTATATTGTATGGGAAAAATATCTATTTTTTTAAAGGATATAATTATATGACATTTTAGATCTTAACTGTTAATTTTTATTTATCAACGATTATAATTTATTAGGTCAAACTTAATGGGTCAAATTTATTGGCTTTTTGACCACTATAACCTTTTTTTAATAATTAATTACCAAATTGACCCTATTTATAAACTATTTCAAAAATTTAACCTTTCCAGAAAATATAACACCAATCTGTCCCTGTTTGACCGTTGACCATGAAGCCTACCCTGGTACCCGGGTATATTTTGAAATTTTTTACCTACCCGGGTATACCTTTCCCTACCCGAGTATATTTCTTGAATCTGAAAAAATATTTGAATTATTTACCCGGATAGGGAGGGGAGTACCCGGGTAAATAATGCTTTGGCATGAATGAACAGAACGACCAAAGAATGCTTTCTTAGCGCAAATAGCAACATGCCGAGACAGGACGATCAGGTCAACATAGGGTAGCGTAAATATGCAGTCAAATGGATTTTGTTAATTACAAAATAGTAATTATACTGAACAAAATAGATTATAGCACGTAAGCACACTTTGAAACTAACTGCATTTATTGTTTGTTTGTTTTTCAAGATTGTGTTAGGTACATGCAGAATGAAGAAGTTGAGGAGATGACCAAAATTAGAAGATTAGAGATTGTTTAGTATTTTGCTTCTTATTCATAACTTGAGCTCTTGTTTCTTTTTTATAACAAGGACGGTTAAGGTCCAAGTGATCTGTGTATTCATTTTCAATATGCCATTAGCTTATTTTTCGATGTTTGACCATGAACAGATGAGAGGGTATGATTATTTACCTGGGTACATCCCTCCCTACCCGGGTAAATAATTCAAACATGTTTCCAAATTCAAGAAATATACCCGGGTAGGAAGGGGTGTACCCGGGTAGGTAAAAAATTTCAAAATTTACCCGGGTAGGTAGAGGTGTACCCAGGTAGGCTTCATGGTCAACGGTCAAACATGGGCAGATTGGTGTTATGTTTTATGGAGAGGTTAAATTTTTGAAATAGTTTATAAATAAGGTCAATTTGGTAATTAATTATAAAAAAAAGGTTATAGTGGTCAAAAAGCCCAAATTTATTATTAATTAATTAATAATTTTGATTCAATAAATTATAACCGTTGATGGATGAAAATCAACGGTTAATATCTAAAATGATATATGATTATATTCTTAAAACGATAGATGTTTTTCCCATATTTGTATATGTTCAATTTTTTTTGATTTACCTTTCTTATTTTAATTTCACTCCAAAGTGGAATAACGAAAATTAAATTCATGACTTTGTGGTGAAAGAAGCTTTAATATCATTCCACCCAAAACCTTAACAACAAGCACGGCACCTAATAAATGGCACTAGAACTTTCTTCAAACTTCGCGAAAGATTTATTTGTTATGCAGTATTTTATGTTGACTGCGTGAAACGCTTATAATTAAACGGGAACGTGGTAATTTGTAATTAATTGTAATTAAAATGAACAACTGATCATTTTAAAATGTTGGTTTTGGGGCTCAACAGTCAACATTATAAGTTTCCATTTTATCGTTTGGGTCTAACAGAGACCAGGTAACACCTAACTGGGGTTCCAAACTAAAATGCCCATGCCCACAAGGCCAAGAGTTTCTTGATGGTAACACCGAAATTTCTGAACTTGATACAGATTTAAGAGCGCGGAACATATTGATGCCAGTGTCATGAACTTATGATAACTTGGTTCATATATTAATTAATTTAAATTTTGTTCAATTTTATTCCCGATAATAAGTAGTCTTTCTAGATATAAACATTTGACTAGTCAAATACTTAGAAGTTCTTACCATGAAAAAAATACTCTTTAAATAGAGAGACTCTTAAGATCAGGCAAATCGGTGAAAATCCAAAATGTTATATACGAAAAACAAAAGTTTCGAACACAGACACCTAATTAGGCTAAGTGTAAGGAGGACCCAGAATTTTGTAATTGTAAAATTAGACACGTACGTGTGGCTGTGAAAGTTGAGACTTGAGAGATCGGTTTTTCGATTCATGAGAGAGGAGATACATGGATTGAGATCAAGACTAAACTCACCAGCACTTTTTATGTACGTTGTTTTTATTATCTTATTGTAAAGAACAATTTTCTCTCATGGATTTTGAGATGTGATTTGCGTAACCACGTTAATCCATGCATGTTTAGTCATTCACTTATTCTGTTCTATCTTATTTATTTTCATGATACCCGTAAAGTATATATAGTCTTGGATTACCGAAAGTTTCTTAATTGTGCTAGAAGTCGGTTATCTTTCCCCGACAAAGAGAAATAACACAATATACTGCTGGATTCTCTCATGTGAAAAAATGGTCAAGTGTTTATGTTATTTGATCACAACCATTCATTTAAAAATTATACATTTTTCTCTCTCTTATCTCATCATCAATGAGTGATTGTGATCAATTAACGTGATCACATGACCACTTTTTCACATGAGGCGATCCACTCCCATCTTGCCTTGTGTTGTGAATCATCACAAATTCTACAAAATGCCCCTTTCCCTGTTAGTGGGATGGCACTTGTGATGTGTGGTGGAGAAGCTCCTTGAAGCTAGAGCTAATTAATGTAATTAATGTTAATTTCATTTCAGTCTCATCGTGAGTTGCCATTCTTTTTTTTTTGAAATTTTGAAAACTGAAGCGTGAAATTCTCAGGTATTGATGTTTGAAGGGATCAAGTTCCTTCAAAATGCTTTACCCAGAAATGAGAGTGAACAACTAGTAACTAATGACTCCGCAAACTAACTAGCTAACTAATATTTAATTAATATTTAGCTACAAAGTTAATAATGATGCTACGATGAAAAAAAAAAGTATTTTTCCCCTTAAAAGTAAGGCAAATATAAACATGCACTTAGACAAACTTTACAAATTTCCAGGTACTAATTGAGATTTTTAACCATTATTTTAGCTAATTACATGTAAAATTAATCTATTACCTTTGATTAAATTTGCAAGTAAAATATACAAATAATGAGAACTCTTTTTATTTTTATTTCATTTGAGTTGGTTTTGTTGAATATTTGTTTAATTTCATGCAAATTATCCTAACTCTTCATCATTAAATACGTAATATTATGAGTTCCATAGAATCCTACTAATGCTCCACGTAAGCCCTAAAGCTTTCTTTATTTATATATTTTTAGATTAATAAACAATATTCTTATTCACAAATGCACTTAGAGAGCGTTTCGTAGAGAAGAAATTTTGTTTACTGGGAAAAAATAATTTTCAAGAATATGATGAAAAAAAAATTCGTTACTAAAAAGTGTTTGATAGGCCATCATTTTTTCTAGAAATGTTAGATTAATTTTACTAATGCAGTATGTTAATTTTCTCACCAATGAGAAAAAAAACAATTCTACCCAATCAATAGTCTTTCATAACCATTTTATGAAGAAAAAACAAAGGGTTTTATAATTCTTATTTAACATGAGAATTCAAATTTTCCTACACACCCTTCGATTTCCGTGCTGACATGGGTCCTACATATAATTTTTTCTAACACATGGGTCCCACATGTTTTTTTATCTCTACAACATGAGAATTGAATTCTCATTTAACATGAGAAAATCAAACCTCAAAAACAAATGATGGGATTTTTTTTTTCATAGCCATAGTTTTACTTCCCATTTATCAAGTAAAAGTATAGGCAAATAATTTTTCATAGCCATTTATCAAGTATAGGCAAATAATTTTTCTCATCCCATTTTCGTATAATTTTTTTTTTACCTCCTGCTAAACACCCCCTTAACTCGTAGTTGCAAATATCCAGAGTGATGGAAGAAAAATGGAAGAGTCAGATGCACTCTATTCAATATCTGCATAAAGTTTTCCCAAAAAAATCTTCTTGAGCAAACAAACTAAAGTTTTTTCGTAAAGGATCTCCAAGAGTGATATCAATAGCAAACTCAAGCGCGCGAAATGCACTAGAGCAAGAAAATTCAGAATATAGACGTGAAACAGCTTAAGATTCAAGTATTGGGAACGAAAAGCAGCAATTATATAACCTTTGCAAGAAGACATGTGGCTGTTGTGTTTAATAGATATACAAACAATGACATCATTAGGAATAGAGCTTCTCACTTGCTGCAAATATGCTTGTCATTCTCATTTTTTGTTTTCTAACACTCCATTTTTAAATTTCACTGTTGCATCAAATCAAAATTGAAGATTTTGTGTGATTGAAAAGGGAATACACACATTTAAGAGTTAGGTTAGTTCAAAACTTTTCATTCATAATAATTTTTTTCTTCAGCTTAGAGAGCCTATGTAAAAGAAAATCACTAAGATAAAGGAAAAAAAATGCTTATCATCTAATACGGGCAAACTGACAAAACACTAAATTATAAAATAAAATTCTCAATTTGCTCGAGGACTATACGTCTCTTGCTCATTCTTCTATTACTTGGTTTTCCTTCAGCTTATAATTCTATTTGAAATCAAAACCCTCAATAATTATGATTAAGTTTGCTTTAGTATTTCCCATCATGCTCAATTTGTAAGTGTAGGATTTTTTATTTTATTTTTATTAATTCAACCATTAACCCTTTCTCGTGAGTATCATACTTACACTGAATCCGTCGTTGCTTAAATCAGTCTTCGTTGTTATTATTGTGATTTAATAAAGCAGTCCCGTTTTCAAACCAAACCGTATATTAGTTCGGAACAGTGATAAATGTGCCATGTTTTTGGCATTTATATACCAAATTGCTATGTGAATAATAAAATTTATCAAATTGTCATGCGTTGAAGTTCGTTACGACTAGTAGCGAACTTGGTAGCCAATGATTTCTTGACACGTGGCACACTTTCACGGGAAAAGATGACTGTCACGTGTTCAAGTTCGCTACAACTGATACCAAACTTGGTAGCCAATGATTTCTTGATTCGTAGCACACTTTAGCAGGAAAAACTTACTGCCACATGTCCTAGTTCGCTACGACTGGTAACAAACTTGGTAGCCAATGATTTCGTAACACGTGGCACTTTCGCAGGAAAAGCTTACTGGACGTAGCGAACTTGGTGCGCTATTTGGCACAATCTCGTTGCCCGATTAGAATTAATGTACCAATCACAATCAAAAAAAGAAAACAAAGAAAAAGGGTTATTTAATTGAGTTTGCTTTTTCTGCAGTAAATTCAATACGACGTCGTTTTGGGACGAAAATCAAGGTGTTTTTATAAGTTTAATTTATTTCAGAGTTATTGTAGTCTTTATAATTATAATTTTTTAATCTTTCAATCCCAAAACGACATCGTTTTTGGAGTAAATGCAGATAACTTATCTGCAGTAACTGCAAAAATATTTTTCAGTATTTTTTAATTAATGTACCAATTACAATTAATTGTGATTGATACATTAATTGTTTGTAAAACCATTGTTACAAATTCAAACAATTTTTGTGAGATCTAAAATATAGCAAATGAGATGTCATTGCGTAGATCTCAAAAAGTTATGTGAAAAAAAATAAAAAATATTTAATTTGGATATCCGAATCAAAAGTTACGACCTTCTAAGTGATTGGTACATTAATTGTGACTTGTACAATCAAAAGTTAATTCTATTGGTATACTAATTGTGATTGGTGATTGATACATTAATTATGATTGTTACATTAATTAAATAGTCATTTTCCTTCGTTTTCTATTTTTTTATCGTGATTGGTACATTAATTCTGATCGGATAACGAGTTTGTGCCACATAGTGCACCAAATTCTCTACCCCTGAGAGTTAGTTCAGTCAGTTTTTCCTGCGAAAATATGCCACGTGTCACGAAATCATTGGTTACCAAGTTCTCTACCAATCGTAATGAACTTTCAATTTGGTAAAAACTACTGTTCGCATGACAGATTGATAAAAAATTGCCAAAAATGTGGCAGTCTGTCCATGTTCCTATTAGTTCACACTTCACATGACAAATGTGCTCATCCATAATTTTCAAGTTCAGTCCAAAAGTGAATGAATACAGTTGAAACATTGCTACAAGAAAAAACACAAGAGCTTCTTATATCTATATTATTACACTTGTTACAAGCCATAAATTCACGTAGATAACAATTTTGAATGGAACTGACACAACTACACTACGAGAATTGGATGGACTAAAGAACCTCGTTTACATGTAGCATGTGCAACCAGAACTCTAGCCACACTCCTTACACACATCGATTTTTTCCTAGCTACAAAGAGGGGCTCAATTACTGAAGCGAGAGACAGCTAGAAAAGCTCTATTGAAGAGGATCACAATGAGTTTGATATGATATGACACGACACGCTATAACAGCTACAAGGATTGCTTATCACCAACTATAAACTGATTTTTGCCACGTTTCCAACTTTAAATCCACCACTCAACCATTGCACAACCCTTGTGCCGAAGGATGCTTACCCTGAGCTACTATGAGAAGAAGCGCCTTGGTTCATCAAGAAACGAACAACAACACAAGTGATATTGTCAGCACTACCTCTCTGATATGCTTCTTGCAACAGCCTCTTTGCTGCCTCCTCTGCATCCTCAATTGGTTTAATCATAGTAACGGCTTCCTGAAGAAACATTAAAATTTTAGGTGAGTCGAAAATACAAGACTTCCTAAACAATCCAAATCTTCTCAGCAGAGTTTAATTTATCTGAATTTTGGTGGTTATGACAGAGATGAACTATAGTAATTAAAGAGAAAAAAAATGGGAAGAAATGAATATCATTGCAAACCTCATTTGTGACAACATCCCATAGCCCGTCACTGGCCAAAATAAGAAACTCAAGAGAGCTGTCAACTTTTTCTTCCTGCAAGACCACAAACATGTAACTTAAATATACAAAGGAGGTGACATCTCTTTTACATCTGTTATACCACACATAATTGTTATTGGTTCATATAGCATACTTGTGTTTAACTAAAAGAAGCTCTAAAATGCTACTTTGCAAGGTTAATCGCAGAATATGAATAACAATACAAGTTTTACTGCTTCATCGTACTATTTTACCGACATAAGTAATGGGAATATACAAACAATTGCGAACGCATGCATGGTCGTATGTATTCATGCAAGACTGTCACTTTTCTTTTTACAGAACAAATTCATGGGTTCCAGAAAGAGTGAAAAACCCTAGGAAGTTCTTTCTATATTGTCTATATTATTCATTTTCCAAGTAACATCCGTCTTCGTCCCATTTTTAATCTGCATTTTCATATAAACCAGATTACTGATTATCACCTTTTATGTACACAAACTGAACCGTACACTTGACCATGCACTGATGCACCCTATACAGGCACAGGTTGAGATGAATCTAAAACTACATGAATTATCCAAGAATGGATGCCACTAACCATAGAAGACACACACCTGGATTTCTGGATCAGCAACAACATACTGCTTCAGGAGTCTATCACCAAATGCACGAGAAACAGCAAGAACACCTCCAACTCTCCAAGTTCCTTAAATATGATGTTAAATTATCAATAGTGATAAACAATATAAATCTTATAAATTAAATAAAAAACCTAACTACATGATGACCTTACCAGCCCACATAACAAAGCCTCCTGCATCTTCAATCCTTTGCCTCTCATCAGTTTGGTCTGGCTTGTGATCTCGAGAAACAGCAATGGCTAGATGAAACCACAATCCGAAGGAAAATATTCAGCAATCATTGTTGAAGTGATTCTCTCACAGCAGATGCACAAGAACTTGCCATAGACACATGCATACACGTATGCCATTCTTACACATTCACTAACATTACATACTTAGAAACAAATTAATGACCATTATATTTCATCAATAACAAATGATATCAAGATAGCTTTTCACCAGAGACTCAAAAGGCTAGAAAAGAATTCTCAAAAATGGCATTTGAATTTAAAAAAATAGAAAAAGAAAAAGAAAAAGCAGTCATGTTATATAAGCACACTTACACATAGAAACCATGACTGTATAAGAACGTGTATAATTGTACAAGTCGTAGTTAATTTTAGCTTATTGTATAGGTAACAGTTAATTGTATTAGTAATTATACAGTAATACAAACTATGTCAATAGTCATATTACATAACAAAACAATTAATAATTAACTGTACGCATCTAAGAATGTGTATACTACTATATATATATATCCATAAAGCTAATATCCTTACCATTACCACCCCTGCATATAACAGCTCTGGAGTCCCCAACATTTGCAACAAGCAGACGATCACCAACTAGAATGGCAGTGGAAGCAGTTGATCCAGCATCTCTGTTATGACTATTTTCTGATTTCAGAAATTCAGAGTCGGTATGGTTATATGCATCAGCTGTAAATAAGAAAAGTTTGGCAAGAAAGAATTGTTATTTTCTGGATTTAGCAAATTGGAGAACATCAGGCATGAGGATCATGCAGAGACAGGTAGAAAATAACATACCTATTGCTGATTTGGTGTCGGAAATGAATTTGGGGTGACTGATCAAATTACTAAACAGGTTTTGCTTGACATACTCAGCAGCACGAACACCACCATGACCTGAAAGCGTTATAAACAAGAAACTTCAGCTACTTTCTACTTTTCTGAGTAGATAAGAATAATATCAAGCATAGGTTATATATAACTATATAAGTATAGCCAATAGGAAATAATTCCTTCGTGCTTAAATTTTAGAGGAAAAAAATTATGATGCCAAAAAAAGAAACACTCTACAATTAATAATTGCTCATATAGGGAATAAAAGTCACAACAAAGAATAGTACAAGAAGAAAAGGATGAACTATCTAGAAATTATCCCAATAGAATGATTGCAGATAAGAATAATATCAAGGATAGGTTATATATAGGTATAGCCAATAGGAAATTATCCTTCATGATGTGCAGAAAACAATACTACAGCCAAACAGACTAATCCAACCGTCCACAATCAGTTTGACAAGGGGTGAAACGTGAAATGAGACACAACTGTAAGCAAATCTAGTACGAGTAATCACATAGCATGAGTTCTATGAGCAATATTTTAGCATATTTTTCAAACAGTGTACAAGCAGGAGATGGAGACGAGAGAAAGATATAAATATACCATCAAAAACTCCAAAAAGGCCAACGATTTCACCATCAACACCATCTATTCTTGTCTCATAAAAATCTTCCATCGAAGATCTCTTGCCAGGAGAGCTAGCATATCCATAACTGAATTTTCCGTTGTGACTATAAACACAAATCACAACAAATTGTGTCACAATCATCTCATGCAGTCTCATTCTTTAGTATTTTTTTCCAAAAGGAAATGTCAGGGAATTCTTTTTTTGGGGGGAGTTTCATTTTGGCATCAAATATCAACGCAGTATTAAATAGACAGTACAATCTTTTTTTTCCTAATCAACGAATGAATCAAATCAGCAATGCATAATAACATCTACATCTCATATATAAAATGAAATACAAAATTTAATTCGGCAAGGACACACATCCTTCGGCCTATGTCCCAACTGTGACGAAGATATGATAACACATTCAATTTGATAAAAGGAGTACCTCAATCTCTGTAATTTTAGTCAATAAAGATTATTATTTATGTACCAACAATCAAGGGATAAGAGGGAGAATAACAAAGACGGGAAGAACAAAGTAGAGAAAATTATTTTTAAGACAAATTCAGGCAGAACTAGTTTAACCTAAGCCTTGTAAAACGATTTTGTTAAACGATGAATACATCATAGTTCCAACACACATGCTTCATGAATCACAAATATTAAATTCATATGAAACCAAGAATCACACGGAACAGACTTATGAATATGCAAATCAACACATGGCGGATATAATTGAAAGAAATTAAAAACGACCCCTCCAACTATGAATAAAATTAACCAATAACATAACAATAATAGTAAGAATTAAACCAAAAAAAAAAAAAACCAGCAAGTTCTTGAATTAAAGAAAGATGGATCTGTGAAAAAGAAGTTGTTAACCTGAGACCCCCACCGGTGACAGGTGCATCATCGGCATAATGAACCTGACTTGAAGAGGACAAAGCTGAATTGAGATAACCCATATTACAAGTTGAATATTCAGGGTAACCAGATACTATTTCTTTGACCAATAAGAGAAAATGAAGAAACAACAGCACTATTGCGTATTCTTTCCTGCCAATGATTCCAAGTAATCATAACATTAGTGGGGTCATTTTGAAATCACTCACTACCAAGTTTTAACCTGCATACAAAAACACCACAAGGAAGAAAGTGTAATTAATTTCACAAGACAAAATTTTGCACAAAAAGTCATAAACTTTGTACATAGATCTTGCTATTGATGCAGATAAAGGCATAAATATGCTGAATCCAAGGTTGAACAACACAGAGAGAGAGAGAGAGAACCTGAGGAAGGGGAAGAGAGAGAAATACCTTCACAGAGAGAGAGAGAGAGAGAGAGAGAAAGAGAAAGAGAGAGAGAGAAAAAAAAGCAGAGGGTATTCTGTTTGATTTTAGTTTAGGACAACTCATTGTTTGTTCAACAATTTGAGACATTCAAACATATCATAAATCTTCTTCTTGAAAATTAGTTGCATACTTTTTTTCTTTTTTCTTTTTTAAATATATATAAAAAAAATCTTGGGTTAATAAGAATTAATCAAAGAATGAAAAGTCAATTAAAAATAATAATAATTGACTATTTACTAATATTTTATTTTTGGTGATTCATTCGAATCGCAAAAGGTCGTTTAGGTGATTCATGAAATAAACATCATCAATTTGATCATACGTATACTAAAAATAGTTGCTGCCTCGCGTTGCATACTCGTCGCCGAAGGATGAGCGAAACTCTCGGTGGGACCGAGTCAATGCCAAAAATAACGCTATTCAGTCTATTCATCCGGTGGTGATGACACGTGTCACCTATGTATGTGCTTTGCAATTTGCATGCACAACGAGGTATATCACAAAATCGGGAGTTGAGTTTTCTTTTTTCTTGAACAGAGGGAGAAATAACTGATACTTTTTTTTCCTTGTTATCATGTTTTGAGTTTCTTAGATTTTTTGTTTTACACTATCGAAGTTGACTAAATACTGTTTGTTATTGGGATTTATATTCTATGACTATGTTGCCATTTTGTGTACAATTATTTTCTGTGTTCGGCACAGCCTTCACACCCTTTCTTGTGCAAGACTAATTAAAGGGTCAACCATGAATTTAGATTTTTTTTTTTTTTTTTGGTTTTAATGAATTTATATTTTGATTACAAGGAATCCTGTGACCAGAAACATTGGAATCTTCGGTTTGAACAGATACCTTATTATATTAATCGGTGTTCGGGCTAATTTAATTTGACATTTTCCTACTTTGTCATTGATGATTGATTGAAAACTCGCATTTTATTAACTGAGTTATGTTTTTCTTCTTAATTTTTCATATGATTAAGAACATGTGCATTAATTTAAACATCATCAGGCCATTGGGGTCGACTCAATTAATAGAATTGGGGAAGAAAAAAAAACCTACGTGCAATGTATCTACACACTCACCTGTTATCATGCGTATGTATACATATTAAACTTTTAAAGTTTGAGCTATTTTTTAGTTTAGGGCACACAATTAAAACACCGTAACAATGATAAACCATAAAACTGCCAAATAGAATACTAGATCTAATGAGAATTACCCATGCGAGTAATATGAGATAGGTGATATGTTAACAATGGAATTGCACTAAATATAAAAATGAAGGGTAGGATTACTACCAATTAAGTTTATTATTTCTTACTACTAAATTTTAATAGTTGATTTTTATCAATCTGACGGTTATAATTTATTAAAAATTAATAATTAATTAATAAATGTTATTCAATAAATTATAACTGTCAGATTAACGAAATCAACGATTAAAAATGATAAATTTAATTGGTGATAAGGGATCCCTCCTCTAAAAATTATCTAAACTTTAAAAAAAGTTATCAGTGAAAGTTTACAAATTTCATTAAATCTAATATCTCATTTGACATTTTCACAATTTAACAAAACTCAAAAGAGTTATATTACCCAAGAGGGGAATTAGGCAAGGGGATCCCCTCTCCCCTTACCTCTTTGTTCTCTGCATGGAGAAGTTAACCCACTTGATTATGGATGAAGTGGAAGTGAAGAATTGGCTTCCAATAAGAGCTGGCAGATCTGGTCCCCTAATATCTCATCTTATGTTTGCGGACGACATTATATTATTTGCAGAGGCTTCACTTGATCAAATCAACTGCATAGTTAATTGTCTGGAGAAATTTTCGAAGATGTCAAGTCAGAGTGTTAGCATAGAAAAGTCATGCATTTACTTTTCGAAGAATGCTACTCAGAAGGTAGTGCAATCCATTACTGAAATTAGTGGATTCAAGAAAGTGGACAAGCTTGGCTGCTATCTAGGAACTATGATGAGACATGGAAGAATTAACAAGAACCATTATGCAGCTGTAACAGCCAGGGTGCAGGAAAAACTTCATGGCTGGAAGGCAAAGTGTCTGTCCCTGGCTGGCAGAATCACTTTGGCCAAAAGTGTGCTCTCTGCCATTCCTTGTTATCACATGCAAAATAATTCCATTCCAGTGCATGTGTGTCAAGACATTGAGAAGTTGCAAAGAAATTTTATTTGGGGAGACTTAGACTCCAAAAAGAAAGCTCATTATGTAGCCTGGGAGCTCATGTGTCAGCCTAATGAGGGTGGGGGACTCGGGATCATCAATCTTAGAGTTCAAAACGAAGCTTTTATGCAGAAGATTGCTTGGCAAATTATGAAGTACCAGGATAGCCTTTGGGCTAAGGTACTGTTTGCCAAGTACGGCAGGAAGCAGGATGCTAATGGCATTTGGATTGCTAAAACACATGATTCGAACCTGTGGAAGAGTATTTGCTTGGCAAGAATCAAGATGAATAATCAGTTGGAATGGGTAATTGAAGATGGAAGGACGGCATACTTCTGGACTGATATTTGGGGAGGATGGTAGTGTTCTCTGTTTGATCTGGCTGTGACCAAACCTCCTATGGCTGACCTCAGTATGAAAGTTTGTGATTTAATTGATAATGAAACAGATGACTGGAAGTGGGACTACCTAGGTAATTTCTTGGATATTTCTGCCTGCTCAAAGTTGAGAAATTTCTCTCCTCCTTCTCACAGCAGCTCTAAGGATTGGATTGATTGGAAGGTGGGCAATCCTGGTAAATCCATAGTCAGAAATGCATACAACCATCTTATGAAATCAAACCGTGTTACAGATAGACTTTGGTCAATTATATGGAAATGGAAGGGCCCCTATAGAATTGCTGTCTTCCTTTGGCTTGCATGTCTCAACAAGCTCCCTGTTAGGAGTATAACCAGCCAATGGAGTGGAGGTGAAGCTCTCTGCCCCACCTGCTTTGATGATCAGGAAACCTTAGTCCACACTTTGAGAGATTGCAAAGCTGCCAGGGAAGTGTGGGAAAGGTGGTTTGCGGGTAAGGTTCCCAATACTTTTCTGTCTGCAGAAGGTATAGACTGGTTCAGGCTTAATCTTCTCAAGCCTTTTCATTCACACTTTTGGCATTCCTGGTCTGAAATTTTTTTTGTCACTTGCTGGTTCCTGTGGTTTTGGAGGAACTCCTCGATTCATGTTGAAAATTTCTCCAGACCCCATGATCCTATTCAAAGAATTCTGCACTATCTGGCCGAAATGAAATGTAGCAGGAATGCTGGTCCTTTTACTATTTTGCCTGGTCAGTGTAATCACAGTGACAACCTTAGACAGAAGGGGAACAAGGGAAGCATCAAAATCTTCGTAGATGGGGCTGTTAGTCTATTGCCCCATACTGGAGCTTGTGGTGGAGTAGCGGTTTCAGCATATGCAAATTGGATAAGAGGTTTTGCCTATAACACAGGGCCTTGCTCCCCTCTGGAGGCTGAATTGTGGGGAATTTTCCAAGGGCTAAAACTTGCTAGAGAGCTGAACCTTCCTTGTGTATGGCTGGGAAGTGACAACAAGGAGGCTATCCTTTGTGCAGAGGACAATGCGTACCCCTGTGGCTATTCTGCTTTGATTGCTAATATTAAGGAAATTGCCCAAACCTTTGAGAATGTCCAGTTGGAGTATATTTCAAGAAACTTTAATTCTTGTGCTGATAGTTTGGCAAAGATGGGTTTAAATCTTAAGAGTGGTGAGCTAAGGTTACTAGAGTCTCCCACTGATAGTGTTGTTTCTTGTTGGTTCTCTTTTTGTTCAAAATTGTTAGTGGAGCATGCCTCTATGAGCATGCATAAACTCTATGTTTAATTTTTCTGGGCTAGGCCCTCCATTTATATCAAAAAAAAAAAAAGAGTTATATTACAAGACAAACTTTATGCAACCGGTGAGAACGAGCAAAACTTCAAAAGTATTAATATGTAATTCACCCTAATATTTTTTACGGCAGCGTTTCCAAATTGGCCCACCTAGCTACTAGGCAGGACTTTCGCGGTTCAACACGGGTGTTTCTCTTCTTTGTTTTTCTCACGAAAATTGGACGCGTCGCGGTTTGTTACTAATCTATTTTAACCCTTCCTTATTCTCGTAAGACTTTGTTTTACAAGAACAATACTATTTAATATTAAAAAATTATAAACAATTTATTAATACATGACTTTTATTATATTAACGTACCTTAAAAATAAGTTAAAAAATGTTTTAATCGTAGCGTGACGATTAGTACAAGCAAAAATTATAATTATTTTCCAAAAAACACACAAGCGGGCTCGCATACGTTCATAAATAAACTCAAAATGCCGTCTATAGAAATAAAAAAATAATTTATCAAATTGTTTTCTTTATGAACTTTCAAAAAATCCCTAAAAAAAAGGTAAAATTTGGGAAGCATGTATTGCAATTAAAATGGAATTTTCATGCTAAGAATATGCAGAGGAAACATTCACTCGTTTCTAGCCCACTAATGTCAACGGCTGTATTTCTACATCAATTTGACAATTTGTGAAGAAGTCTTGACAAATAGAGCCAAGAAGCGACCTGCAATTTGTGGCTACAATGCAAAGCTAAAGCTGAAATAATGTCTAAAGCAAATTTGTGAACCTCAGGCTTCACTGCCATCCGAATAAGCATTGCTGTCCACTCCCCTGGTGCCAACTTCACCACCTCACGGAGGTATTGAAAGCCTTTTCCAATCCTAGCGAGGATAGTACCCTCCTGCAATGCACAAGTACGAAAAACTTCCACATTTAGTACCTGTTTGACATGTTTTATTTTTAATTTATCTTCTCCTTAAAAACTGAAACTTACTCAAATATTTTTTTATTAAAGCTCTTATTATATAAAGAGTTTTTTTATAATGAAAAAAAAAAATTAAAAGCTCCCAAAAAGAAGTTTTTTTTAAAAAAAAATATATAAGCTTTTTTGACTCCACATGTTTATTTTATAATTTTAACCCTATTCTAAACTTGTATGTATAAATTTTATTCTTTACTCTAATAATGCATCATCATAATAAATTAGTTTATCTTCCCTCCTTTAAAATCATCGGAACAACTTTATACAATCACCAAACAATTTTTAGTTTTTTTTTTTTCTTAAAAAAAAGATGTCAATAACTCCATTTGAAGGAGCAATTATTGACTCAGCCCAAGTCAAATACCCTATCCTTAAGCGGTGGCGGGTGGGGGATTGGAAGTTCCGGGTGGATGATAAGAGCATGCTCTCAACCTTTTCAAGGCCCCTTTTAGGTCAGCCCATTGAAAACACCTTTCTTCAAACAAAAATTTAAATACACCGCTATCCCACCACCTTTGTCGCCGTCTCTTGCCATCTGCCATCCCAGCTCCAGTTCCACCACCTAACTTCGGCCCCACCTATCCCATGACCACCCCATCCTCCTCCACAATCCCACTGCGCCCACCTCAATTCAAAAACATGTTATGATTATCGTTCCTCTAAATGATAAGATTATTATATTTCTCCCCGCATTGCCATCAACAAACTATCTATATCAAAACGATGCACACACTTCACCATACCATTCAGTTGGTAGGAGTGATTAGTGGCAAGATCAGGGACAAGTAAATGCGAGCGCTTAACTGTCATTTGACTCATTTTCATAAATACATAAAGAATAACAACCTCCACCTTTATCTGGATGAGAGCAGCCTCTACATACTTAGTTGAACAAAACACTCATCCTCCTTTTGGTCCAACTAAACATGTGAAGGATGCTAGCCTCCGTGCAAAGGTTAGAAGGTTAGAAACTAGGCATTACCCTTGATACACACAGATGTAGATAAAATTTAACAAATGAAAATACCTCAAATAGCAATATTCTCTGGCCTTGAGGCTTCTCATTTAACACGCAATCAATCACTTCATCTTGCAGAAACGCATCAACTGCTTCTACTACATCACGAAGAAGGAAAAGACGCACTCTGTGACCCTTGTCTGATAATATGAATAATAAAAGATCTTCAGCTGAATCAACGACAGCATGCATGTCAAATAATTTCCAAACGGAAGGACTTGAAAGCTTTTCAGAAGTAGGGTCTCCAGTTAGCTCAGAAGCCTGTTCAGATATTGCTGCTACCTGAAACAAGAATGACATCAATATTAAATATAGTCTTAAGCTGTATAATAATTCATCCACAAGAGTATTCAAATTTGAGTGCAGAAATAAACGGGATCTGCACTTGCATTACTAGAAAGGGTTAGAGATTTAACTCTAATAAAGCATGTTTACTTCTAAATAAGGAAAAAAAGCAGCAGCATCATTCCACTTGTAAATTTATAACGCACTAGGCAGCAACTGTAAATCAATTTATATAGTGATTTAAGATTTCAAAGTTTCAAGAGCAAGTGCACAAATAAAGTAGTCTATAAATTAATGTTAAGTAAAAAAAAAAAAAAGGTCAAATAGCAATTCCTTCTACTTGAAGAAGGAATTTATCCATATGATACAGATGGGGTAAATAGCAATACTTCAACCACGTGAATTTCAGTTTTAAACTCGTGAGCTTCTTTCAAGCAATACTGGAATTAACATATCGACATAACTATTACATTGTATGGCAGAGTAGAAAACTGAGATAGATCATACCAGGCGCTCTAGCCGGTTCCACCTTATGGATCCATTGTTACGAATGAGAAGTTCCCTCAAAATTCTTCTCATATCAGGACTTGAATCTGCTATAAGTCTCCCGATGACAAAAGGATATGCACTCTCAATAACTTTAAAATCAGGATCCAGAGCTTTAGCTGTGCCTTCTAGTGATCCCAATGCTCTTATAACAAGAGCATAGTCTGGCGGGAGGGAGAAGTTAAATTCATACATGACATCATATAGTTGGTTCATAATTCCCTGAAATCCAAACCAAGATTAAACTTTAAAATTCGAATTGCCATGATACCCTGTAATTGTGCTTCAGTTAGATATAAAATGAAAAGGCTCTTCAATAAAGACATTATCATAAATGAATCTGAAAATCCACTACACATTAAACCCCGATTTGCGAGGGTAGGAATTACGAAAATTCTTGTACGCAACCTTAGTCTCATATTTTTGCACAAAGGCTGCTTCCTAAATTCTAACCCATGACCTTTCAGTTACACAGACGCAGCTTTACCACTGCTTCAAGCTCGCCCTCTTAAATGAATCTGTGAAATATTATTTTACGAAATAATTTGAAGCTGGTAAGTTGTCATAGATGTCACCAGGCAGCTAGTAAGTTGTCAAATGATAAACCTTAAATTCATAATGTTTTGAATGCAAAATAGAGCCTTAAAACTCCTAAATTAAGAACCTAAATATGAATTTAATGTCTTAAATTGTTAATATTGAAGTTATTATATGAATTGTTATTATCTTTTTATATGTTTATGCTTTTTGATGTTTTAGATAATTGGGAAGATATTGAGCCATAAGTATCATGATTGCTGCAAAAAATAGATGAAATCTCATTCAGAAGATTTGACACCTAAGCACCCAAAAAAAAAAGCCCAATTCTAATTCCTAGGCGCTGACGTTTTTATACTTTCTAAAGTAGCTTTTCGCCAAGGGAGATCAAGCTGAGATTCGTAGAGATTCACCATGCCCTCATTGCGAAGGAGTTTGGCGAAGCTTTATGATTTCTTTTGTCTTTGTTTTTGCCATGAGTAGCTATTTTTCTTTGTAATTAGGGTTAGATGGAACTCAATTGAATCTTTATGTTTCTGAATTAATCTTTAATGCAATTTTCCCTTTTTATATCGAATGGATTTTCCTGTTCTTCATGCTTCTATGAGTCAATCTTCTAGTAGACTGATCTAAGGTTCATGTATGACAATAGGGATGCTGGTATATGAATTGGGGTTGGTAAATTCATCATTGATTTGTATAAATATAGGAATATACATATGAATCGTGCAATCCTTATACCATTTTTATAATTCTTGATTTTAATGCTTAAACTTTTTTGGGAAACACCAGGGAATTAGGATTCTCTAAAGGGGGAGTAAAGCCTTAAAGGGATAGAATACCAAGGGATTGAGTTTTAACTAAATTAGATGAATTGATTGGCAATATAAAAAGGACGATTAATTAAGGTTTTAATTCAAAAGGGGAGATTGGGATAAATCAAATCTCTAACTATGCTTTTCTTGATTGCTTGAATCTTTGACTTTGTGTTCTTGTTTAAGTTCTATTTTAATTATTAATTAGTTTTTAATTAAATCTCTCATTTGAATTGTCCAACTTAAGTAAAAATAGTAAAATAGTGCTTGAAACACTAATCCTCGTGAGAACGATACTCTACTCACTGTTTATTACTTGTATAACCGGTATACTTGCCGATTACGAAACATCAAACTATTAAAAGACTTAAAATCAAAATGACAGATCTGTGCTAAGTCCTGTTATAAGAATAAAAAGAATAAAATTTGAAAGGTATATTGGAGAAGGAATAAATATAGTTAGTGAGTTAGTTGAAACAACCTCTTTGCAAATATGTAAGGACAAGATTGCGTACAAGGATTGCTCTCACCCCTACTCTCATCAGTCGGGGTTTAATTGAGAGTTTTTTTTTTTTTTCGAGTGAGTTAGTTGAAAGTGGTTACTTTGGCCAATTAGGAGTTAGGTAGTTAAATAGGGGGGAAACTGTAGAAGGCATCATTTTTTTTTTTTTTTGAAAAAGAAGGCATTTTTTAAAGTAAAAAGACTGAGACATTCTTAGTGGAGGAAGAGGTTTCCCCTTTGTAAGAGGACCAACCCTCTTGTAAATCATCTGCTTTCTTGAATAATAGTCACAATTCTTTCTCCTTCTTAATTCTTCCTATTCACTAATTCTTTCGCATTCTTAACCTTTACAACCGGAGAGGTGATAACACATATTTTGTTACACTTATTTATTACTCTTGGTTGGTATTTTTAGGTTTTATTTGAATTAAATAAAGGTCTTTTGGGTCAAATCAGAATTCTAGATTTTAATTGGGTTTAATTGATTTTCGTCATAATTTTCCAGATTTACACTACTTTCGTATTTTGACCATATCTCACTCTACAGATGTCCGATTAACTCCGTTCTTGTTGCTTTTGGACGTGTTTTGCTGGAAATTTATTTTTACGTTTGAACTTAAGTTATAATTTTGAACCCAATGTACATGAGGCCCAGAGCCAATATTTCTTTTTTGTTTCCTTTTATTTTGGGTTGGATTTGTAGAGCCCGAAGCGCAGCTTGATTAGGGGTTAAAAGGGAGAGAGTAGGGACCTTGTGAATCATCTTTCTTTCGTTTGAATTTGAATTTAACAGTTTTGAAATTAATAGAATTTTTGTCTTTTCTCTCTCCTCTTTTCTTTAATCAACCCAAGGGTTGAGGATTCCATGGTTGAATCCTGAGGAGCTGCGCCTCATTTTGAACCAAATTCGTTTCTTTTTCCAACTCCGTTTGGCATCGCGCGATTGTGGGTGTTCAATCTGAGAGACAGGATTGCGTTCTTAGGAAAGAGATTAATCATTAGATTTAATGGTTAGGTTGATTAACCCAATGAACTCAAGTCGAACGGGTTGATACTCCGCGATTGTGCGAGTAGACGCGCCGTATTCGACCAAACGCTAAGCGACCGCTTAGAGAGTGTTCTCAATTGGAAATAAGGATTCTGATTCAATTGAGATCAATCACGATTTGGTAATTATTTGTCCAATGATGGATATCCTTGGAATCCTAATTCTTGGGTTGATTGCTTTTAATTTGATTACTTTTTATTTTATTTTATTTCCGTTTAAATTTACAATCATATTAAACCCCCCCCCCCCCCCCCATTTTAGTTTTCGTTTTTCTTTAGTTTCCGTTTCTCCTTATTTTCTCTTTTCATTTAGTTTCCATTTTCATTTGGTTTCCATTTTATTTTTATTTTTATTTTTATAACTGAGCGATTAAGATCCTTGCAAACTCCTTGAGTGACGACTTAGGTTGACGCTTTACTACAAATTTTTAATAAACCTAATTTAATTAATTTGCGCGAGTTCGACAGCTCGTGTCAAATTTGGCGCCGTTGCCGGGGAGTTTGCATCGTTCTCTATTCGTTCTTTACCATCTTCCTCCTTTTGTTTAAATTATGCAGAAAATTAATCATAGGGAATGGTGTGATAAACAGACTGAGAGGATCTTCACATGTGGATGGACATTGCTTCAAGCCTTTTCATGAGGGACTCCAGCAGCAGTTTGTGGAGGCACAAATCAGGCTCACGGATGCCACTTACCTTCCCTAAGGAGGATAGGGAGTCTTCTTTTCCTTTTTCTTTATTTCCTTTTTCTTTGCATTTTTTTATTTCAACTTTAATTGTCAATAAGTGGATTTTCCTTTTCTTTCTGATAATTGTTGAGTTATACATAGAATGAACTTGGACATATTTCTTTTGATAGATTATTCTGATCAGAATTAATTCTTGACTCTTGGATTATATTACTTGTTGACTGATGTTGTTATGCTGATTGCGTAATTTGGTTTTACCCTTGTGAGATTTTGGGCCTGTATGAATGGATTACATCTTTTGCCATTCTCTCTTTCTTGTGTGTTTCTGCTCATGATCTTTATTCTCTAGAACTTGCTCTGATTCTTTTTGAAAGTGCGTTTTTCACTTACATGCATGAATATGATTAAGGCATTCATTTCTTTCTTTACCCACTTTACCCAGATAGCCATCCCTTACATTATTATCCCTTGATGAGCCCCTTGAGCCTTTATATCCTTTACTTCTTGAGCCACATTACAAGCCTAAGTGAAAAACCAATTAATTCCACACCCTGGAGATTTACTGAGCAATGGTTTTCACTGAGATGATTGTATTTAAGTGTGAGGGGTGACCATCTGATTCTTTTTTTTATTGTATTGATTAAAAAAAAAGCAAAAAAATAGAAGCCAAAAAAAAAAAACAAAAAAAAGAAGAGAAAAAGTAAAAAATAAAAAAATAATACTTTTCATTATCTTTGTTTTATTTTCTTAGTGTCGTTATTAACTTTTGCTCTTGTAGATTTCTGAGGTGTTTAACTTTCTTTTCCATATTTTATACATACCTTCACCTCAGCCCCATTACAACCCTGCATAAAGCCCTCTTGATTTGTGCATGCATGTGTTGGTAGCAGTGGAGAAGTAGAATTTGAGCAAGCCTATGGTAGAATGATTTTCTTGAGTAGATTTGAGTGATACACTGATTACTGATACACTTGAGAGAAAAATATTGAGAGCATCCTATAAGGAACCATTTTCGGTAATTGGCATGTACAGTTGAAATTAGCAGGTCTTGTGATTTGAGATTAGGGAATTTCTGTCCTGATTGGTTAATCTGTTGAAGACTTGTGATCTATGTATATTTTCTGTATACTTGGTAATTGTTAAAAGGGATTGGTTGATCTTAGTCTTTGCTTTCTATTTTAGTTTTTGCCCAGGAGTGCAAAAAGATAAGTGTGGGGGAATTTGATAACACATATTTTGTTACACTTATTTATTACTCTTGGTTGGTATTTTTAGGTTTTATTTGAATTAAATAAAGGTCTTTTGGGTCAAATCAGAATTCTAGATTTTAATTGGGTTTAATTGATTTTCGTCATAATTTTTCAGATTTACACTACTTTCGTATTTTGACCATATCTCACTCTACAGATTTCCGATTAACTCCGTTCTTGTTGCTTTTTGCAGCTAACAGGAAGGGATACAATTGCTATTTCAGCTACTGAAGCCCAATTCGGACAGTAAGATGGTCGAAACCTGAGCTCAAGATGGACGTGTTTTGCTGGAAATTTATTTTTATGTTTGAACTTAAGTTATAATTTTGAACCCAATGTACATGAGGCCCAGAGCCAATATTTCTGTTTTGTTTCCTTTTATTTTGGGTTGGATTTGTAGAGCCCGAAGCCCAGCTTGATTAGGGGTTAAAAGGGAGAGAGTAGGGACCTTGTGAATCATCTTTCTTTCGTTTGAATTTGAATTTTACAGTTTTGAAATTAATAGAATTTGTCTTTTCTCTCTCCTCTTTTCTTTAATCAACCCAAGGGTTGAGGATTCCATGGTTGAATCCTGAGGAGCTGCGCCTCATTTTGAACCAAAATCGTTTCTTTTTCCAACTCGGTTTGGCATCGCGCGATTGTGGGTGTTTAATTTGAGATACGCGATTGCATTCTTAGGAAAGAGATTAATCATTAGATTTAATGGTTAGGTTGATTAACCCAATGAACTCAAGTCGAACGGGTTGATACTCCGCGATTGCGCGAGTAGACGCGCCGTATTCGACCAAACGCTAAGCGATCGCTTAGAGAGGGTTCTCAATTGGAAATAAGGATTCTGATTCAATTGAGATCAATCACGATATGGTAATTATTTGTCCAATGATGGATATCCTTGGAATCCTAATTCTTGGGTTGATTGCTTTTAATGTGATTACTTTTTATTTTATTTTATTTCCGTTTAAATTTACAATCATATTAACCCCCCCCCCCCCCCAATTTTAGTTTTTGTTTTTCTTTAGTTTCCGTTTCTCCTTATTTTCTCTTTTCATTTAGTTTCCATTTTCATTTGGTTTCCATTTTATTTTTATTTTTATAACTGAGCGATTAAGATCCTTGCAAACTCCTTGAGAGACGACTTAGGTTGACGCTTTACTACAAATTTTTAATAAACCTAATTTAATTAATTTGCGCGAGTTCGACAGCTCGTGTCAAGAGGCTAACAATTGGTCTGACCTGCTGATCCACTGGAGAGACAGGCAGAACAGAGGCCTGAATTGAAGCCGTGGAGAGTGCGGTGGAGTTTCTCAAGAAGGTAACCTACGACCATGGTGTGCAAAAACAGGGCATTGAAATTGACGATGAAGGTACCCGAGATCAACCCACCCGAGAGGAAGCTCAACCCCATTTGGTCAAGCAATTGGAGGAGCACAGTGAGGGAAGTGGGGTGAATTCCCATGTGTCCGAGAACTGTTCTTGGGCAAGGAAGGTAGAGTTACCAAGGGGACTGACCCGCTGGATTGGATAGCAAGGGCAGAGAATTTTTTTGAGGTACAACAGATCAAGTCGTCAGAGAAGGTGCATCAAAGAATTATCCTTGAAAATTTAGGCATTCCTATCCAACAATAAGAACCAAACAATGGCAGCACAAATTCCTCTTAATTGACATGTGAAAATGCTCCAAAATCTCTGTTTTGGGATATTAAGGCTGATGTCAAAAATATCAACACCGGTTACAGCTAATACCGCTACTAATTGATCCTTAGGTGCAGGATTAAAACAAAAACAAAACCTGGAAATCTTGAGATTCACTGTTCCGGTGAGCAAATGATGCTTGCAGTGAAGCAGAAACTGAATGTATATCAACCCCTTCAGGAATAAATCCCAAAGAAAGAAAGTCATTTGCCAAGCTCAGAGAGTCACGATTAACAAAGTGCACAATCTGAAAGAAACAAAAACTTAGTACTAGACACAGACAACTCAGGGAAATTATGTATAACTACAAGAAGGTCTGACATAATGAAGAGGAGAAAGTTTAAAATGAAAATAAAATAAAATTACATAGACAATGCATGCACTCGGACATTGCATCCAAGAGAAACAGATATATCAATGGTCTGAATCCAATGAATATAAGGATTTCTCATATTTCAGAACATCATCTATATTAGCATCATAAAAGATATTTCTGGTAAATATAAAACACATTCTTGTAAATTATGAAGTAATATTTGAATACTTTAAATTTGGAAAACGTGACTCAGAAGTTAGAGACAGAGATCTTCTGAGAGAGACTATGAATAAGTGATCGTCAAAGGATAACCACGAACTCATTAAGCAGTCAAAATCTAACACATCCTTTGACTCTTCTCCTGCATTACCACATGTAGGAAGACCATTCACTAAGTTGACATTTAACACCCACCATAAATATATAAGCATAACACATCTTATTAAGAGAAAGAAATGATAACTGTGTCAAATGTCAATTAGATATGTCGAACATCATTAATGCAATTTGACTTTTCAAACATAATTTTGGTGTTAAGAGATTGCCAACAAAAGTTGTGAAAATTATATTCGACTAATCAATTTAAGTTACACCCATTAAAATGAGTAATATTTAAATATTACTCACCATTTGAATAAGTCCAATCCGGTAATGCCTAGGAATATCCCCCATCATTCCGAAGTCAAAATATGCAACTGATCCATCATTTGTTGCAACAAGGTTTCCTGGATGAGGATCAGCATGGAAATAACCAACTTCCAGCAGTTGCCTCAAAGAGCAGTATAATCCCTACAAAGCCATGAGAAAGAGGCAAGATGCATCAATTAGCTGTACTTCGCATGTTAATTCTTAAGTACTCATGCATTTAATATGTAGCCAAAAGATAATGTAACTGTGCATTTAATACTATTCATACATACTGAAGAAAAGAAGAAGTGTTTTGTCTGAATAACACATTTTCTTAATTCATTGAGAGACCCAATGGGTCCTTTATATATTGAGGACAGTGAGCTACATCAATAAATAGCAACAGTAAACTAAGAGACTTATTTACAATAACAAGAGACACTAATAAATAAGGGAACAGATAGCAAAAAAGACATAAATGATAAATCACAATCTAGAATATTCTACACTCCCCCTCAAGTTGGGAGATATATATTGATCATTCCCAACTTGCTGATCAAATCCTCAAAGGTCGGCTTAATTAATCCTTTGGTCAGAATATCTGCCGTCTGTTCCTTGGTAGGTATATATGACAAGCATACATACAATCTTCTAATTTTTCTTTGATAAAGTGACAATCAACTTCCACATGTTTTGTTCTGTCATGATGAACAGGATTTTGAGCAATGCTGACAGCAGCCTTATTATCACAATATAATCTGATAGGTAGGGAATGAGATCTTCAACTCCTCCAAAAGCCTTCTTAACCAAATTCCTTCACAAATACCATGGGCTAGAACTCGAAATTCCGCTTCTGCACTGCTTCTTGCAACAACAGTTTGTTTCTTACTTCTCCAGGTCACAAGGTTTCCCCAGAGATAAGTACAATATCCTGAAGTAGATCTTCGGTTCATTGCAGAGCCAGCCCAGTCTGCATCTGTATAAATTGCAATCATCCTTTTGTTCCCCTTTTTAAAGAGAATTCCTCGACCAGGGGTGTTTTTGAGGTACTTGATAATTTTATAAACAGCACTAAGGTGTTTTTCCTTAGGAGAATGCATGAATTGGCTAACCATGATCACAGCAAAAGCAATATCAGGACGAGTGTGAGACAGATAGATTAATTTCCCCACTAGTCTCTGGTACTGCTCCCTATCAACATCTTCCCCGTCCTCAACTCACATCTTGATATTAGCTTCAATTGGAGTCTCTGCCGGCTTGCACCCAAGCATACCTGTTTCTTGCAACAGGTCTAGAATGTATTTTTTATGAGTTAAAGAAACTCCTTCTTTACTCCATGCAACTTCCATGCCAAAGAAATATTTGAGAGATCCAAGATCTTTTAGTTCAAACTGGTCAGCAAAACATTTTTTTTAAAGAGGTTATCTCCTCGCTATCATTACCAGTGACAATTATGTCATCAACATAAACGATCAGAATAGCAATTCTACCTTTGTCGGAGTGTTTAAAAAATAAAGTGTGATCAGTCTGAGCTTGGGTGAACCCTCTTCCCTTAACAACTTGAGTAAATTTCCCAAACCATTCTCTGGGAGATTGTTTAAGTCCATAGAGAGACTTCTGCAACTTGCACACAGAACCATCCCCTTTTTCAAAACTAGGAGGTGGATCCATGTAAACTTCCTCATGTAGATCACCATTCAAGAAGGCATTCTTAACATCTAACTGTTGCAATGGACAATCAAGGTTGGCGGCAAGAGATAGCAGGACGCGGATAGTGTTAAGCTTGGCAACACGAGCAAATGTCTCCTGATAATCTATCCCATGAGTCTGAGTAAATCCCTTAGCAACTAATCTGGCCTTATACCTATTGATGCTATTGTTTGCATTACATTTTATTGTGAATATCCACTTGCAACCAACAGTTTTCTTTCCTTTAGGTAATGTCACAAACTCCCATGTTCCATTTTTTATAAGTGCATCCATTTCTTCTAATGCATTCCTCCATTTTGGGTCATCAAGTGCTTCTTGGATATTTTTGGGTATCCTGGTACTATCTAACATAGTGTTGAAAGCACAAAAACCTGTAGACAACTTCTCATATGAGATATAATGGGAAATAGGATGAGCAGTGCAAGATCTAGTACATTTTCGAAGAGCAATAGGCATATCAATGTTGGTTGTACTAGTGCATTCAAGTGGGTTGCTGGAACAAGGACTCGAGTCAGGATCCTGGTAGTCTAGAGTATCTTGATGTGTTTTGCGCCTGCTGTAAAATTTTCCCCATTTACCAGGAGGATCACAAGGAGGATCATTAGACTTAGGTATAGTTGCTCCCCCTGTTTCCTTCCCAATAACTCCCCCTGTTTCCAAAGGTCAAGGACAGCAGCATCATTTGGTTTTCCAGGCTTATCTTCATCCATACCAATACCAATAGACTCCCCCTGAAGAGAAATCGGGGAAAAAAAGGATTGTGTCTCATAAAAGGTAACATACATGGAAACAAAAATCTTACGGAGATAAGGTGAATAACACTTATAACCTTTTTGATTAGGGGAATATCCTATGAAGACACATCTAATAGATTTAGGGTCAAGTTTGGACATTTGATGTGGACGAATATGCACAAAAACCACACAGCCAAATATTCTGGGAGGAAGAGAAGAAAAAGCACTGAAAAAGGGAAAAGATTTAGTAAGACAAAATAAAGGAGAATGAAAATTTAGTACCCGAGAAGGCATCCGATTAGTGAGATAAGAGGCTGTCAAGACGGCTTCCCCCCACAGATATTTAGGGACATGCATCGTGAATAAGAGAGCTCGAGGAACTTCAATTAGATGTCTATTTTTCCTTTCTGTCACCCCATTTTGTTGAGGGGTGTTAGGACAAGAACTTTGATGAATAATTCCATGCTGGTTTAGGTAATCTCCAAGAACAGAATTAAAATATTCAGTACCATTGTCTGTTCGCAGAATTTTGATAGAGGTCTGGAATTGAGTGTGAATCATAGCATGAAAGTTTTTAAAAGTGGATGCCGCATCAGACTTATCTTTTAAGAGATATACCCAACATACCTTAGAATGATCATCAATGAAAGTAATAAACCAACGAGCACCCGAGACATTTCTTTCACGAGCAGGTTCCCAAATATCACTATGAACCAATGTAAAGGGAGAAGATTCATGATATTTCTTAAGAGAATAAGTGACACGAGAATGCTTTGCAAGATGACAAACATCACAAAGAAAGGAACTTGGCTTTTTATTGATAAATAAGTTCGGGAATAACTTCTGAAGATAAACAAAATTTGGGTGTCCTAACCTACGATGCCATAACAAAACATCATTACAGTCATCTGATAAACATGGAGAGTGGTTCGAATAAATCCTCCTTTCACAAAGATCCTCTTTAAAATAGTAGAGCCCTTCTTCCTCTTTAGCACTGCCAATCATCATCCCCGAGTCCTGTTCCGAAAAGATACAATCATTTGCAGAGAACTTAGCAACACAATGCAACTCAGCAGTAAGTTTGCTAATAGAGATGAGGTTACAAGTAAAAGAGGGAACATGAAGGACTGAGTTCAAAATAATATGCTCAGAAAGTTTAATGGATCCCTTTCCCGCAATAGTGGAGATATTCCCATGAGTTGTTCTTATTCGTGACAGGTGATAGTAAAGGGTATAGGAGAAAAATAAGGTTGCATTACCTGTCATGTGATCAGAGGCCCCTGAATCAAGGATCCAACGATTACTACGTTCAACATAGAATGCCATACCTTTTTGAGCAACATGACTAGTTGCCTCAGAAGGTTGAGACATCAATTTCTGAAATTGCTCATACTGGGCTTTAGAGAGGAAAACACCATCAGGGTTTGAAGGGAGATGAGACCCCTCCCCCTTATCTTCGGAAGATACTTGATTAGCACGATTCTTGTTCTGTCCTTTTGGTTTCCAGTTTGGTGGTTTTTCATGAATTTCCCAACATTTTTCACGGGTGTGACCACCCTTATTGCAATGAGAACACCAACGGTCAGAACGTTTTGAGTCCCCAGAAGGACGAACAGTATTCTTTGCTATAAGGGCAGACCCATCAGAGGACTTAGAGTCCTTATCACCCAACATTACCTTTCGGCGAAGCTCCTCCTTTCGTACCTCAGAAAAGGCAGTAGCAAGGGAAGGTAATGGGTTTTGCCCCAAAATTCTTCCACGAACACCACCCATATCAGAATTAAGGCCAGCAAGAAAATCATAGAGACACCTTTTCTCTATATAATTTTTGAATCTTGCATTAGCTTCTAAACCTTGAAGGTCTGCTTTATCATAAAGATCCAACTCTTGCCACAGTGTTTTTAGAGCAAGGAAGTATTCAGTAACAGTCATCCCTCCTTGACGTAATTCTTTCACCTTGGTGTTGAGATCAAAAGCCTGAGAGGCATTGCCTAGGTCAGAGTAATATTCTGTAGAAAATCAGAATCCAAACATGTTTCCGTTTTTATTTCCTATTAATTAGGATTGATTTTGATTGATTAGGATTGATTGTGATTGATTAGAATTGATTGTGATTAGGATTGATTAGTCATCGCTTAGTCATTCTTAGCGATTTTTTCTTGTATAAATACTCACTCATGTAAATTATTCAATATCAATATACAGAAACTTCTTTTCAATATGGTATCAGAGCGGGTTCGTTCCTACCCTAATTCAAATCTGAAATAACCATCCAACACTTCCATCACCGTCAAACACCTCCTAAACACCTCCTTGAATCTGTCCAACACAGAAACCTAGTCTACTGACCTCCGATCAAGAAAGTGAGGTGACCATTCGACTCAGAAGGATCCGACGAGTCGACCGCCGCTGGACCCATCGCCGTCAACCGCCGCACGCGCCGCCACGAGCCGTCACACGCGCGGCCAGTTTCCGGCGCGTGAGCTCCACGCGCCGCCTTCCCAACGTCTTTTTCTGCCGCGACTTGCACAGACCTTTTCGCCGGCTTCTCCCCTTCCTGTTCCAGAGGTCAGATCAAAAATTTACAAAACTTGATTTTTCATCAACGGTTAACCCTTCTCTTTCTATTCATGGCTTCCTCAAAACACTCTTCCTCTTACTCTGATGGTGTCTTTCTTAGCAAGACTAAGTTTGAACAACTTCAGAGACTTTTGACTCAACCTCCTAAGGCCACTAGTCATGTGGTCCAGCAAGGTACAACTTTCCATGTTGATAGTCAAAATCATTGGATCCTTGATTCTGGAGCCTCTGATCATATGACAGGTAATCTTGGCTTGTTTTGTTCATACACTCCATATTCTGAACCTTCTCGGGTCAAGATCGCCGATGGCAGTTTTTCCCAGATTGCGGGACACGGAACCATTAAACTTTCTGAGCTGATTACTTTGACATCAGTTCTTTATGTTCCTTCTCTGACTTGTAATCTCATTTCTATTAGCAAGCTCACCTCTGAGTTGCATTGCTTTGCTAAATTCTTTCCACATGGTTGTGTTTTAAAGGAACAGGACTCGGAGAGGATGATTGGCAGTGCTAGAGAGGATGGTGGACTTTACTACTTTGAGGAGGATGTGACTCATGAAGCTGTTTTCGTAGAAAAAAACTCTATGTTTCCTTTTGATTCATGTAATGATGTTATGATGTGGCATCGTAGGCTAGGCCATCCAAATTTTATTTATCTTCAGAAGTTGTTGCCAAACTTATTTATTCATAAAAGTCCAAGTTTGTTTTCTTGTGATATTTGTCAACTTGCCAAGCATACTCGTGCTCATTATCCTTCTAAAGTTCACCATGACTCTTCCCCATTTTCCTTAATTCATAGTGACATATGGGGTCCAGCCCGTGTCAAAAATATTTCAGGTACTCGATGGTTCATTACCTTCATTGATGACCATTCTCGAGTCTGTTGGGTGTATCTTCTAAAGGATAAGTCTGATGCTGCATCCGTGTTTAAAAAATTTCATGCCATGGTTCAAACTCAATTCCAAGTTGCTATACAAATTCTTCGTACAGATAATGGCAAAGAGTATTTTAACTCTATTCTTGGAGAATATCTTTCCCAACATGGCATCCTTCACCAAAGCTCGTGTCCTGACACACCCCAACAAAACGGAGTTGCGGAAAGAAAAAACCGACATCTCCTTGAAGTTGCTCGGGCTCTTATGTTTACCACGAGTGTTCCTAAATATCTTTGGGGAGAGGCAGTTCTAACTGCCTTGTATCTGATAAATCGAATGCCATCTCGCATTCTGAAATTTCAGTCTCCTCTTTCTAGTCTTGTTCGTATCTTCCCTTCCTTCCGAGGTGTCTCCTCCTTACCTCTCAAGTTATTTGGTTGCGTTGCATTTGTCCATATTCCCTCCCATCAACGGTCTAAGCTTGATCCTAAGTCTCTCCAGTGTGTCTTTATTGGTTATTCTCCTACTCAACGTGGCTATAAATGTTATTCACCCTCTCTTCGTAAGGTCTTTGTCTCGATGGATGTCACTTTTTCTGAAAATGACCCTTTCTTCCCCTCGACTTCTCTTCAGGGGGAGATAGGAGTAGATGAAGATCAGTCATGGGAAGCTACTGATGCCACGGTATTACCTTTAATTTTGGAAACAGGGGGAGCTACAAAATCCTCACCATCAGGAGCCTCCTCAAAATGGGGACAAGTTTATAGCAGGCGAAAGACTCCTCAAAGTGTGAATAACCCAGAGCCTCTACACTGCCAGGATTCTGAACCATGTTCTAGTTCCAGCACCCCAATACTTGAGTGTCATGGTGAAAATGATCTACACTTGCCCATTGCTCTCAGAAAAGGTACTCGATCTTGTACTACTCATCCTATTTCTAATCATATTTCATATGGAAAGTTGTCCCCAGGGTTTCGTGCTTTCAGTACTATGTTGGATAGTACAAAGATACCGAGAAATATACATGAGGCTCTCAATGATCAAAAATGGAGGGATGCTGTCTTTGAAGAAATGAATGCTTTAAAAAGAAATGGAACTTGGGAGATAGTGACCCTACCCAAAGGAAAACAGGCAGTAGGATGCAAATGGGTGTTTACAATAAAATTCAATGCAGATAATAGCATCAACAGATACAAGGCAAGATTGGTTGCAAAGGGTTTCACTCAGACTCATGGGATAGATTATCATGAGACTTTTGCTCCGGTTGCTAAAGTCAATACCATCCGAGTTCTCTTATCTCTTGCTGCCAATCTAGATTGGCCTCTGCAACAGTTAGATGTGAAGAATGCATTCCTAAATGGTGACTTACATGAAGAAGTCTATATGGATCCTCCACCTGGTTTTGAAAAGGGAAATGGATCAGTGTGTAAACTAAAAAAGTCTCTATATGGATTGAAACAGTCTCCCAGAGAATGGTTCGACAAATTCACACAAGCAGTCAAAAGAAGAGGCTTCATTCAAGCACAGACTGATCATACTCTCTTCCACAAACACTCTAAGGATGGTAAAATTGCTATTCTTATTGTATACGTAGATGATATAATTCTTACAGGTGATGATATTGAGGAATTGAACACCTTGAAGAAATTTCTAGCAGCTCAATTTGAACTCAAAGACCTTGGCACTCTCAAATATTTCCTTGGTATGGAAGTTGCTAGGAGCAAAACAGGCATCACTCTAACACAAAAAAAATATGTTCTAGATCTTTTGTTGGAAACAGGAATGTTAGGGTGTAAACCTGCTGAGACACCTGTGGAACCTAATACCAAGTTAGGTATTGAAGATGGGAATGAGGTGGATAAAGAACAATATCAGCGATTGGTTGGTAAACTAATCTACTTATCTCATACGCGTCCTGACATTGCCTTTGCGGTGAGTATGATTAGTCAATTCATGCACTCACCCAAGGAGAAGCATCTTAGTGCAGTCTATAGGGTGCTTAGATACCTCAAGAATACTCCAGGAAGAGGATTATTCTTTAAAAAGGGGTATAAAAGGACAATTGAAATCTACACTGATGCAGATTGGGCAGGCTCATCAGTAGACAGGAGATCTACCTCAGGCTATTGCACCTATGTGTGGGGAAATCTTGTTACTTGGAGAAGCAAAAAGCAAACAGTGGTTGCAAGAAGTAGTGCTGAAGCAGAATTTCGAGCTTTATCTCATGGAGTTTATGAAGGAATCTGGTTGAGAAGACTTCTTCAAGAGTTGAAGATTTCATATTCCCTACCAATAAAACTATATTGTGACAACAAGGCAGCTGTTAGCATTGCTCAAAATCCTGTGCATCATGATCGAACAAAGCACGTGGAAGTTGATCGTCACTTCATCAAAGAAAAATTAGATGATGGAAGTGTGCGTTTGATATATGTTCCAACCAAAGAGCAAACGGCAGATATCCTTACCAAGGGCCTACACCGTCCAGCATTCGAAGACTTGATTGGCAAGTTGGGAATGATCAATATTTACCTCCCAACTTGAGGGGGAGTGTAGAAAATCAGAATCCAAACATGTTTCCGTTTTTATTTCCTATTAATTAGGATTGATTTTGATTGATTAGGATTGATTGTGATTGATTAGAATTGATTGTGATTAGGATTGATTAGTCATCGCTTAGTCATTCTTAGCGATTTTTTCTTGTATAAATACTCACTCATGTAAATTATTCAATATCAATATACAGAAACTTCTTTTCAATATATTCTTTAACAGCTTCCCAAATTTCTTGAGTCGTATCAAGAAATAAATAAGTTTGACTGATATCTGGTTCCACAGAATTAGTCAGCCATGTCATTACCAAAGCATTTTCAGTCAGCCAAGCATCATAGCCAAGTTAACGTTTTGCTGGTTTTTCCTTTTTTTCGTCAAGATACCCCCTCATCTTCACTTTAGCTTGGATAAACAACTTAACAGATTGACACCATTGCACATAGTTCCTACCGTATAAATGGTGATTAGTGTTGCTGGGTTGTCTCCAGAAGACGAAGAGTTGGGAAGGGGTGAGGTTCCAGACGAAATTCCAGACGAATTTTCAAAATTTTCAGCGTCCATGGCTTTCTAACAACAGGTACCCAGAAAAAAGTTCCTCCAAATACGATTTTGACCCTCAAAACAGGAAGAGGGGAGGCAAACGATCAGAACGGGGTATGACTAGCCGGAAAAAAATGACGGCAGGGCGGCGCATGGAGCACACGCGTCGGCGAGGCTGAAGGTTGGTGGCGGCGCGTGGAGGGGTTTTCGGCGACGGGTCTTCTGTGGGCTGGCTCGGAATTTTGTTCTGAACCTAATGGTGGCCTTGGTTTCGTGGTTGGAGGTGTCTAGGTAAGGATTCTGGCTTGGGCAGTGGCAAAAACGAAAAAAAGAATAGGAAGAAGACTTAAAAACAAATCAGAACGGGGAAGAGACTGGAATATAACCAGCTCTTGATACCATGAAGAAAAGAAGAAGTGTTTTGTCTGAATAACACATTTTCTTAATTCATTGAGAGACCCAATGAGTCCTTTTTATATTGAGTACAGTGAGCTACATCAATAAATAGCAACAGTAAACTAAGAGACTTATTTACAATAACAAGAGACACTAATAAATAAGGGTACAAATAGAAAAAAGCAATAAATGATAAATCACAATCTAGAATATTCTACACATACACGTAAGCATACAAAGCTAAATATATGAACACAACACAGACGTAGATAAAAAATGGCATAAAAGAGACATATCATATATCATATATGTCAACAGTCAAAGAATGTGAACAAGAAAACTTATGTTCTTTATACCTGGTCGATGAGTTCCTTTCTGTTCAAAGAAGCTTTACGCAAGCCTGTTTCATCTGTAAGCTTAATTCCATCTATCCACTCCATAGTCAGTATAGTGGTGCAAGTGTAGTCCCAATATATTTTTGGAGCTTTGATGGACTTTGTTATTTTGTGTTTAATATTGTCTCCACCTGCATTTTTGTGGCCCTTTTTATTACCATCTCTTGTAAAGAGTCACCATTCTAAATTGCATGCTAAAGAACTAAGAATCACTTAATCGCATTAAGAGACAAAAATGTTTATTCCATAACATAACACATGTGCACTGCCCTCTCATATTTGAGGAATAATTAACAGCTCTGAATAAAAGCAAATCTTCGTATGAAAATTGTTCAAAAGCTAATATTTATGATTCCAGAGAAAATGCCTCGAGTAATAACATCTGGTTAAGCATTGAGCATTATCTAAAATTGGATTTTGGGAATAAAATATATGGTTGAATTATGGAAATGCCAAGATTATCATCAAAGAACAACAAGGATTTTTGGCACAGATGTTGAACTTACTTGCAGACCAACAGTAGAGAGAAACAAAGCGCTCAGCATTCTTTCCCTCCAGGACATAATCAATTTCATCAAACATGTGCCTGACCTGTTGCATAAAACTATAATGACTAATAGATAAAGCAATTGCAACCTAAATTGAAATATAACAGTCTCCACAATAGTCAGCTGGTGTAACGATCACATACACACAAGTAAAATATTATATTCAGAAGTAAATTTCAGATGTTAGTTTCTCAATGTTGGGTGAAAAATAGGTCATATACAAAGCAAACAAGAGATATTTGCATTCAATACTAAAGGAACTTACCATTTCATTTACTGCTACTAAAAGATCTTTGCGAGCCTTGGCAAACCGTTTTAATTGGCCCCCAATCATATGGAATAACAAAGCATCAAGAGTCAACGAAAGTGACATACCGGGCCTCTGTACTTTTACAGCTACGAGCTCCCCAGAATGCAGGTGAGCTGCAACACTTGAAGCAACAAAAGTAAACACTTCAATCTTCCTCAAACATGTCAATATTACTCTAAAATTCCAAATTTAAGAACAACGAGCCAAACAAATATCCAAATCAGAATAAAATCTAAGTTATTTTTTCCGGCAACTAACCTTTATAAACTTGCCCTAAGGATGCTGCTGCAATTGGTGCTGGGCTAATGTCACTAAAAATTTCATCAATAGGAACACCCAACTGGGTTTCAATAGATCTGATTGCAACATCAGTTGGAAATGGGGGTATTTGATCCTAGCATGAGTAACAAAATTTAATACTTTATCAATACAAGCCGACATAAGACGAGCATGACAATAGTCAATCGATGCACCTGCAGTATTTGATTACATGCTCTGAAAAGTATAATGGAAGAGGCCACTGTACCTGTAACTTAGCAAGTTCTTGGCAATATACAGTTGGTAATATGTCAGGCCTGGTGCTCAATGCCTGCCCAAGCTGTAATCATGAGTAGATTAAGTCAAATAAAAGAACTGTACTGAGAAATTTAATGTAAAATAACTATTAATTCTTGCTCTATTCAGTACATATGATGTCATAACGGTGATGTGGGAAAAAAGGAGCACAAAGAGAAAAGCTTTTTATCTATATTCAAGTGCTTTTAAAAGAGAAAAGATGAAAGCTTACAAAAAAATCTAATAAAATAAAAGATGGTAACTATAGTAAGAGCATAAGAATTGGAAGCATCTTTATTGCATTTCTGTGAGTAAAGGTAAAAGTGGTTAAAAGTGAATGGTAAATCTCCAAATGAAATAAATAATCGGAAAAAATAAATATTATGATCTACAAAGTGTATCAAAAGCCCTAGAAACAGTCACCAAGTTATTTTACAATAAGGAACCACAAAACTTATTGTAGAGTAATAAGAGCAGAATAAGTTTGTATGAGAAAGAGGAAATAATGCTGATGTAAAGAGCATATCTCAAACTAATCTCACGCACAGAACATTATTATTGTATAAAAAGAGTAATGCATTTCTATTAAAAAAAAAAAAGAGTAATGCAAAGAATGACGGAGACAGAAATGATGAAAGCAGAAACCAATAGGAAATAATCTGTGAGAGAAACTTGCCTTAATGTAGAAAGGACCCAAGCGTATTAGAGTTTCACGAAACTGCAAAAAATTGTATTGACATCACTGTTCATTCCTGTCAATTTTTCCCTAACAAGTATAAAACAAAATGAATCCACACTCTATTGCTGGAAGAATTGTCAATGGAAGAATTATAACTGGTCTGGTAATTCTTATAATGCTTAAATACATGTTCGACACTTGAAAGCCCAACATGACACAAAATGAGGAAAGGGGTCTCTTTTACATTGCCAATCCATTTATCAGAATAAAACTGACATATAGCTGCAATTCTCATTTAAAAAATTGCACAACAGTAAAATTTATAGTGTTCGTTTCAAAAAATCCATCAGGTATCAAAGGAACAAAAGGTCAGATTGTTTAGAAAAGTACCTGTAATGTCAAAATGAGAAACTATCTACATTATGTGACCAAATAAAAGACATACCGTAAAACAAGAATGCACACACATTCTTTCATGTTAATGAAGAAGAAAATAACAGCATAAAATTGATATGGTAATACGGCATTTATCTCAGAACAAAGGAATTATCATCACTCTATGAAAAAATATTTTTATATTTGAGACAGACACCATAATTAATCCATAAGAATAAAACAAAAAAAACCGTACATTAAGTTGAGTTGAGTGACAAAAGAAGTTGCTGCAATGTTGTCTCCATAGTGTTACTTAAGATTCCATTTCTCTTTCTTATCTTTCCCCTACTTCTAAAAGGTTTCCAATAAAAGAAGATGCCTTGATAGTTCTTGTTTGATCGCTTAACAGGTTTTAATCCTATACAATATCAAGGCAATTTACTGAAATTTTTTCATTAAAGTTATGTTCAGTGATCAATTCTTGATCAAATACATACTAAACTAAACGAATTAACCTCCCAAACCAAAAGTAATATGTGTGTTCCCTAAGTAAATCTGCAAAAGTGTATGAAAAGCACTAGCAAAAGATAATCTGTTACCTTAATTGCACGTTTTTCTATGTCTTGAACGAACAACTGCCATATTGTTAACCTTATCACGTGAAAAGAAATAATTGCTGCCCTGTACAAAGCCAAAAAGGGACCAAACCGGTAGATAAGTTTGAAACTCTTAGAGCCATAAGTTCCAAGAGCAAGCCCAAATTTATTTTCCAGCGATTCCCTCCTCAACCTTGCATACTCAGCAGATGGCGTTTCGCCATGCACGCTAGTGAAACCAGTTGAATATCTGCACCAGCATCCCCAATTAACAGAAATTTGAAGATCATAAAAACATGCCATGGACAAAAATCGATTTTAGTTGAATCAGAATCCGATCAAGTGCAAGGTGGCAAATCAACTCACGAATTTCGGTGCAACAAGCAAGAAGGGGACCAGCAATCCAGCCTCTTGACAACCTCAATATGTTTCAAATATTCCAGTGGCACGCATCTTCGTAAGATAATTTCAGTGGCATTCTCATGCCGTAAATCTGCAAGAAAAAGCACTCTCACTCTCAAAATGAGACCACAACAACGGTGACCTGCAGTTGAGGTAATGAAAACAAAGCCACGATAGAAAGGATAATACACAGACTACAATAAGAGCAACAATAACCTAACCACCAGTCAATTCTAATCATTTCAGCAAGTAAAACAAAAATAGAAAACATCGAATGGAAATTTTCTAGGGTGAGGAAATAAACAAGGTATCTGGATGTACGAGAGAAAGGAAGCGATGAAAGAATCAAGAGAATTAGTACTTGCGGACATAGGAATGGCACCGCGATGACGGTAGAGAGCGGCGAAGGCATTCCTCCTCATTGATTTGTAGAACAAACAAGTTCAGTGCAGCAGAATTGACGCATTGGAAACCGTCGAACGCCAACTGTTTGAAAAAATGCATAGCTGGAACAAATAAGCCATTGATTTTATTCGATGTATAACAGTGGTGAGTGTGTAACAGTGTGTGACGAATAAATCTTTGTAGCAAGATGCACCAAAGATTCAATATATTTCATAATAAAAATATTATATGTTAATTAAAAAAAGTTTCACAGTCAAACTTTTTCTCTTCTCGTATAATGTTTGATACACTGAATCTTGGTGCAACAATAGTACCAAATATTTATTCGTGTGTGACAGTGATCGAAGAGGAAACTGCCACGTGTGGTGTAATGTATAACGTAGTAAGCCACGTGGCACCAATTTGGAGAACAAGGAACGCCCTCGGGTCCTCTTAGCGCAGTTTGTTAAGTCATCGTCGGGCCTGGGTAATTGTTCTCCCTTCATGCCTCTTTTCAGGGCCCTAGTGCTTAACGGACAAATTCCCATATGAATCAATTTTTTCATGAAAGCATCCTGATTATAAATGTTTAAGAGTAAAGTAAGCTCATTTAAATATGTATGTTTAATTATAGTCAAAACTAACAAAATTAAGCGGGTATTACTGAGTTAAACTAAAATTAAATAATCCTGGGGCCAATTTTCTAACAGAAATTTTAAACTTTATAAGAACATGATCATTCATATTGATAATTAAATATAGGGATTAATATTTTTTATATCATATATATATATATATAAAAGGAAAAGTATTTTTTTATTATTGGAGATAAAGTTATTTTCAGTGAGTTCAAAATAATTCATTTTAGGATTATAAGATTAAAAAAATTATAACGATAAAGATTAATATCCTTGCAATATATTAAAATTCCAAAAATACTTTAATTTTCTTCCCAAAATAACATTATTTTGAAGTCACTGGATATAACTTATTTTCATTGACGGAAAAAATCATTTATCCATATATAAAAGTGTGGCTCACCAATCCTTTGATCATATATAAAAGTGTGTGGGAGTATGTGGGGCCACAAAAAAATGAGAACAGTGACTAAAATGCCACTGTTCACCAACTTTTTTACTTAAATACCTTGCGAACAGTGTTATTTTCTAATCTGCCCCGGGGGCAAGTTCGCTACCCAGTGTAGCGAACTCGGTTTGTTGACGTGTCATATTTTTAGTGGATAACAACTACCAAGTTAAAAAAAAATAAGTTTGAAGTTCGCTACATTGGGTAACGAACTTGGTGTCCACTAGAAACGTAACACGTCAGCAAATCGAGTTCGCTACACCGGTTAGCGAACTTGCCCTCGTGACAGATTGGAAAATAACATTGTTCGTGTGGCATTTAGATAAAAGAATTGATAAACAGTGACATTTTGGTCACTGTTCTAAAAAATACACAGACACCAATATACGTAGGAAATAAAATTATTTATACATTAAATAAAATTATCCCTTTTCTATGAGGAAAAAAAATAAAAATTACAGCGTTGCACGGGGTTCAGTTGGGGTTTTCCTTTGTTGGCCGGTGAGACGGATCTCCGTGATTTGAAAAAAAAAAATAGAAAAAGAAAAAAAAAATCGTGTATGAAGTAAAACGAAACCCTTGTTATTTTGGAATTTGTGTGTAGAATGGCGCGAGAGCAATACTCATCATCGACGCGATCATGGATCCTGGATACAGTACCTTTATTAGTGGTTATTCTAATAGCAGCTCATGTCCTCGCCCTGGTCATTTCTCTCTCCACTTTCTCTTTCTTCATTTCAATCAACAAATTCCCTTTATCTCTCTATTCTCTCTTATCAATTTATGTTTATTGGATTTACATTTACTGCAGGTATATTGGATTTATAGATTAGCCACCCAGAAACAACCGCAACAGAGGAGAAAGTCTCACTGAAGGAGAAGGTTGCTGGTTGGTGAACCCTAATTGATCTTTTTCTAGGATATTGTTAGGTGCTATAGAATGTTGTTTACCCGCTCCACAGGCAGTGTAATTACTCTTCATTTTATAGGCGTTGTTCGCAGCATTTACAATTTAAACTAGTGCGGATGGATTGGTTTGAAGTTTGAACTCACACGCAGCATCTTTGTGTTGCTTCATCATATGATCCTACACTTGCTTATATTGTTGGGATTTTAATTTATGGTGTCATGTAGAGCATGTTTTCAAATTTAGCAAATATTTTGGATTTTTCCTTTATTTTTGCTTTCTTATTTATTTCTATTTTCTCTTATATGAGTTCTTCAACTATCAACCCCAACTAGTTTGCGATAAAGGTGATGATGATGTTTCCTCGTGCAGTATTTGTATGATGTATACCCCTGCTTTCCATTTTCGCAGAATGTGGGAGGAGGATATAATGAAAATCACTAAGAAACTTGTATTTTCTTTTACTAATTTACCAGTGAAGAAGATTAGTTTGGATTGGAATAAGGGTTTTCCTTTTTTTTGTTTTACTAGATTGTTAACTAATATAATTTCCTGTAGATGTTTCTTGCTCTGCGTCTTTATTATTTTCCCAGCACCTGTAGGATTGCATGAGCATGTTGGGAGCAGTGAAACTGAAATTGATTATCTGGTTTAATGATATGAAGCGTGCATGATGGAATTGGAAATCCCAAACTGTAGACAAGGTACACCATTGGATGATATGAACGAGTTTGAATTAGGATTTGATGTAGCTCAGTGCGAGTCAAGTATGTTTTGGGTATGCAATAACTTTATCTGATAAAAGAAGATAATTTTATTGAAGAGAGAGATTAATGAAAGAGTACATTCATGGGGGATAGGCGTTTTCTGTTATTGCCTTGTGTACAGTGCTTAAGGTTTCTTTTCCTCTCCTTAGTTTTTTTCTTCCCTGCATTTGGAGTTGTATTAGATGTTGTGTTGGAGATGGTGACATGCTGCCCCCAAGATATTTGTGTGAACCTCAAACTTTTAAGAACAAGACTTTTGAGTATTTCAACATTTAGTTAGTACTATTGGAGGTTGTTTGCTTCCATGCGATTCCAAAGGTTGTGGTTTCTATTGTCTCAAAAGGAAATTATCTCGATGAAATATAGTCAAGCTGTGACTGAACTCAGGCTAGTTCTCTAAGTATTGAAGTTCGAGATTGTTTTAGAGAAATAGTCCGGCTCTAGTTACAATGATTTTTCAAGCAACATATTGATAGAAAATGCCAAAGGTTGTCTTGAAGTTAGAAACTAAGAAATGCAAGTTGGTAGCGGCACACATCTATAGTGTAAGGTAGCCAGCCTCATCACATTACTTGAGAAATAGGCAACGAGAATGAGTTATGAATGTGCATTAATATAGTTTCAAAATGAAGTGGGTCAAATATGTTGGTTGCTCAATAAACTTAGTCAGTAATTGTTAATGATATTAATGATGGGTTTTCAACTTTTGTTACATGAAGCTATTTGATGTCTATTGGGAACATGCTTTGTAACCATTGTGCCAAACATATCTTGGGAGTTTAGCTAATGTTATTCTCACAACAAATGACCTTGCGACGTTGTCATTTTTCTAGTTTTGTTGCATTTTGAGACTTGGTGAGTCAACCTTGGAAATATGGACGTCCGCGCAAGTTAATATAAATATTCAAAATGATAATTCTAATTTTTTTTTATCTATTTTATACATGTTGCTGCCTGCTGGTTATAGAAAATATGAAATATGTATGGTGTATTGTCAATCGCCTAATTTCTGATATCTAGTATTATGTTTATTGGGATTAATTGTGGCCAGATGTTGGTTCTTTGAAGTTCCAGACCTTAATAATGGATAGAGTATAATAAAATTTTGGAAAAACACTTGAGCAAATATACGTCTTTTGGTGTAAAATGCTAGTGTTCTTGGAAATTTAATGCAGTTATTGCCAACCTAAGGTTTTTCCGCATATATATTCAATGTAATTGTTGTCATTGTTTATAACAAACATTACTTGCTGTAGGTGTTTTTTTTTTTTTTTTTTTTTTTGGCGGATTGACGTGAATGAATGTTTCAACAATCATAGCTTTGAGGTTTGCCATTTTACATATCTGTGTGACATTAGATATGTCTTATATCGTATTACAAAGGGCTAACGACTCGATCCATATGTAGTTAACTCCAGATCAACCTGAAGTCTATATTGTCTGTTGAGTGTATCCTGTACTTGTTGAATTAAAAACTGGGAAATTAAAATTGAAAAGTCAATCCAGCAAAGTAATTTATGTTGCAAAATTCATGTCATGTTATATTTGCCGTGACAAGACCTACCTGGAAGGAAGGAAATTTTGCTGCTGACTGCGTTGGGAAATTGGTAGTGCTCCGAAGTGGCAAACTATAAAATGTTGGTCATCTTCCTCCAGGTCGTCTAAGATTGTTGGAATGGGGCGGGTCTTCTTTTTTTTAAGAGATGTATACGTTGCTTTCCCAATTTCAACCCGGGTGTGTCAAAAGTCTGCTCAAAAATATTTCTCTAAGGATGGAAATTTCGATTTTAGGAATTAAACAGTCACTTTTAACTACTGAGAACGGACACTATTGGGTGTCTTAGCTGGGACTCTAAACCGCATACCGCTATGCGGTGTGCCTGGGGTGTAATTTTGGGTCTAAATTTTGTCCTTACGTGTGCTTGCTCGAGTTACTTGTCAGTAATTTTCTGAGTCGATCTTCCTTCTTTACGAACTCAGACAAAATTTTAGGTGATGAATTTTCTAGTCATTTGGGGGAAAAAGTGCATTAGTAGATTGAAATAAGTTATATTTACAAATTTTTTGTTTACAAAAATTTACAAATTATATTTGTAGTTCAGGAAGTATATTACAAAGTAAATGTATTTTTCGAAGTACATAGTGTATTTGTAAGAAAAGAATTTAGAGAAAAGTTTACCAATGTCTCTGTGGTTTGCTTCAGAATCACCTATACTTCTGTGATTTTTTTTCTATCACATATGTCTCTGTGATTTTGCAAAAGGGTATGTTTTTTATCACATATACCCCTGTGATTTTTTATTTTTTACAAAGCACATGGCATATGTGATAAACAAAAAATCACATGAGCATAGGTGATCTTGAATTAGTGCAAATAACAGAAGTATTGGTGAACTTTTTTCAAAAATTTATAAATATAACACTTTTCTAATAGATTATATTGTGAAACAGTATGGGTTGAATTAGTGCAAATTTCTGTTTTGATTTGATTGTTTTGTTCATGCGTACAAGAAAGGTG